GGAGTAATAAAAATTAATATTATTTATTACATTATTTATATTATATTATATATAATTGAGCGAGTTGCATAAAACTCCCCTTAATTTGGTGGGGATATTTTTGGCAATAAATCAAAAAATAACCCACCTTAATTCATTGGATGAGTTTTTTTAATAAAAATAATTAAAAAGGAATTTACTACAAACACCCTACAAGTCAAGATAATTTAATTCAATTTGACCATTTTATTAGTTGGAACTCATTTTATAAACCCACGAGAATATAACATTGACTAGCTCTAATTTCTTTAACACAACTTTTTTCCAATGGATGAAGGGCATTGGTATTATCATTAAAGCAAATGACTAATTTTAAGAGCATCTCTAATGGGCTCTCCGAATTTAAGCTCTTCAAATTTATCACATCTGCATTTTTCATATGTCACATCTGTATTTTCCTTAGTCACGTCAGCGTTTTAGAGTTTCCAAATTTTAGCTATTGCATATACTCCAATGGTGCATTTTCACTTTCCAAAAATATTAAGATTTTAATATTTTTAAATTTTAAAATAAAATTTATTTATTAACTTTTTCCTAACGTCTATAATTAAATTATTTGTTAATTAAATTATTTAGCCAGTGTGTAGGAGATCTTGTAAACAATACAATATCTAATATCATTTGATTTATTAATTTTTAGTAAAAACAAAGACACATTTTTTTTAATAAAAAAATTATATTTTAAAATAAATTTCAATTTGTTAGGGAAAACAAATAAAAAAAAATTTTGTTTGGTTAGCCAATATAGCAGTTAAGGCATTATTTGGGTCAGCCAAATACTACCTAAAACAGCTATAATGTCAATAGGAACGTTGAAAATTTTGAAAAGAAAATAAAATCACTTTTTTCAAATTTTTAAAACTTTTTTTTTTTTACCCAAAAAAGCCTTTAAGGCACTGTTTGTGTCAGCCAAACAGTGCCTAACGGCTCTTTTGATTCAATTAATTTGAAGGGAAAAAAAAGAAAGACCAAAATTAGGCCTGTCAATGGATCGGATTCGGATCGGATCAATCAAATCCATATCCTATTTGTTAAGCAAACGGATTATCAGATTCGGATCACTAACGGGTTCTCAGATTGAATGTCCCAATCCATATCTTATTTAGCTTGGACTCGGAACGGATCGGATTCGAAATCGGATTAAAATAATATTTACTAACATATATAATTATAAAGAGTATAATTTTATTGGCATATGTACTAAGAGATTTATTCGCATATGGAGGAAAACACCACAATATTTATATATAACATTATTATTATTTTGAATTTTTGGGTTACCTTTAATACAATTCTAATAGGAGTATATATATAAAATTATTGATAAATAATTATATATATAATTATTTATATATATAATTTCAATCGGATCGGATCGGATTTTTATCGGATCGGATCAGCATAATCCATATCCGATTTATTACGCTAACGAATTATCGGATTCAGATCGTAACCGGGTTATCGAATTTTTTGTTCAATCTATATCCGACTAATCGGTTCGGATTTGGATCGGATCCGGATCAGGATTTGCTCCATTGACAGGTTTAACCAAAATAAGTCAAAAATCTGATTTTTAACTTTTATTTTAGCCAAACATGTCCTTAGAAACAGTGTTATGGGCGGGTACAATGTTCTGAGCTTGAATTAAAAAAAATTTAAAAAAAAAAACAAAAAACAAAAATAGGCCCACATAATTGAGCCTAGAATCGCCTCCCGGTTCGCCCTTTTTGGCGACCTGTTTGAAGAACCAAATTTTGGAGCCCACAAAATGGATAGGCCATTGGAGCAGCCGGTTTCCAATTCTTTGCCCAATATCGCTATAATCAGCAACAAAGTTGGAGTGGTTATGTCTCCGAAAGTCTAAACTATAAAAAGGTACTAAACTATAAAAAGGTACTAAACCATGCACATTAAGCGTAATGTTACAATTAATTCCGATACCGTGTTGGTGGATTTGAATTTTCTATTGATCCAAAGGTCATTTTTCAATGTGTGTGGACTACTGAGTCTTGGCCTGACAGTCTTTAATGGCTCCAAGTCCAATCTTGGGCTTGGGCTTGGGCTTGGGCTTGGTCTTGGCCCTGTTGGGCTTCAGCTTGGCCCCAAATATGTCTGCCATGAGAGAGTGTAAACACATTGTGTGTTCATTTTCTCTCGTTAAGTTTAGTGCGAAGATAATTTGTTTTTTCAATAATCAAAGTGTTCGGGGCTTTATTCTGACTAACTTATAACTTATAAGACTAGTGTAAGGCGATTCTCACACAGATCGGATAAGACTCGGACTATGCTTGCAGTCGTGGTCTCAAAGGAATTGCTTGACTAAGAGAAATCAAACTTGATAGCTAAAGCTTTAGGGCGCAAGTCTTTTCCAACTAAACCAATCCCTCAGAGTTCTGAAAGATAATTGCCAATAGAGATATGAATATTGTTTTACTATCTAACGAAATCGCAGTCAAAGGAACATACTTGGCAAAATCAGCAGAAAAGAAGACATTGTTGAGCATGAGATTTATACTTATAAATGATAAAATTATAGGTACCATCTTATGGTGTGGCAATGGCCCCCAACACAAAAAGAGATGAGCCACTATGCATATCTTCGCAGCACAATGACAATACTATCTATAAACTGTGTTTATGTAACTTCAACTAAAATTTAAGGCTATTTAATAACACTAGAGCATCGAATAAAAATCGTTACATTATAATGGTATAAGCTTCTCACTTCCAAATAGAAAGTTGAGTGCTTGAGTCTTGGTAGGCAAATAAGTGTGTGATCCCTTGACTAAAAAAAAAGGGGCATGGTACTCGATCAACATGAAATTGAAGTTTTTAATTGAGTCAATGGGTTTGATTGTATTAAAGTTTTTGAAACAGTGGTACTGACTGAATCTATGAGAGAGAAGAAATTGTTTTTCAAAATTTTAGTTATGAACGTGGCCTTACCTCATGCAGCCATTTCATCACTAGTACTTATCGCTTTTCTTTTGTGAAGGTTATTTCTTAATTACTTGTTAAATTTTATATGTATATGCATTGTCTAATGACTTAATTAGCGGAGCGTTCAGTTTTTTAGAAAGTGCCGTGTTCGAGTCCAATAATCAAAACGAAAGGGTAACCAGTATTTGTGACAGACACTTGACTCAATGTTAGTAACCTGCTTCCCATACAAGAGAGAGAGAAGTGTCTTTCTTTCATGTCAATAGATTCATCAACTCATATATAAACGGCATTGAAAAAAAAAATTAAAAAATAAAAATAAAAATAAAAATAATGTTGGGGCTGAAGTACAATTACACGGGCATATTGCTCATTATCTTCTACAGTACTTTTATGTTTCTTTATACATTATTTTCAAATAATAATTGCAAGGGCCCCTATTGTATAGGGCCAAGTGGAATCCATATGGAGCCTACACGTACCATAATAGAATGATTAATATGTTTACATTATTACACATATACTCCACCCAACTACAATCCAAGTTTCTAATAGCTAATTAGGGTATAACGGTCAAGCAGACTGCTTAATCTTTATTGGAACAAAGATTAGTTGGAGGAGAGGATATGAACGTACTTGCAATAAGAAATTGTTTTTTCATGTTTTGATAGTTTGTGCCTAAGATAGGTCGATCTTCTTAATTTTATTAATATAGTATTGTAATTTTTCAATTTTATGAAAGATTGTTCTCTTTTTTTTTTTCGTTTAGTAATCAGATTTTAGTGTTATTTGTCATAAATGCATTCGGATTTTGTGATGATACTTCTTAGTTACTTGGTATAATTTTACTTTGGTATGAAGTGGCAAATACAAATATATATATCGGTATATTACAAGTCGGATTTTCATCCAATGTTCTGTAGTATGGAAGTGACCTAATAAATAACGTGACACCAAAGATCTGAGATGCCTTTTTATTGACATCAAATCTTTTGACAGTTTTACGGACAAAAGCGCTCAAGAAATGGAATCTTCCAAGGTCCTCCTCCTTTGACACGGACAAGAACCCCTTTTCTTTCAAATAGCCCAATGTTTGAACCCGTGTCTTGCATCTTGTTGATGCCGCCACATTAAAATTGCAGGTAGGTTAGTTGATTAGGTCAGCACCCCAAGGCCTTGTGTTGTATGGACTATGGACTCCTTCTAATAGTCTTGTATTGGGCCTTTGGGCTTGAGGCCAGTTTTTTAGGTCCATGGGGTATGCCCATGCTTTTTGTACAGTTTCTCTCTTTTATGAACAGTTATATTTAACCCAAAAAAAAAAAAAAAAACACTAGCAGATCGATGAGCAAGAAGTTTTAAATATTACAAAAATGAGCAAGCATCCAAGCAACAAACTTAGTTGATGAAGTAGCCATATGATCACATAAACTGGCATAATCTTGGTGGGCACGGGCCGCTAAATTTTGGTCTTGTTTGCCTTTTTTGTAACAAACTTTTCTTCACACAACCCAATTAATGGCCCAATGTACAGTGTAACAAAATTTGCCTTACAAGAGAGGTTAGAGTAATTTTTTAAATTATACAGGAGGTCCGCATAATTTACCCCTTTTTTTTAACCTCGAGGAGAAACTCACACACCTACCATTTGCCTATAATATGACTTGAACATTTCTACCCTACCAAAGAGAGAGAAAGCTCTCTCTCATATTATCTTATAGATGTATCATCTCGTATGTGTTTATATGTACGGAGTATATATATATACATATAGTATATATGTTGCTTTGAGGGGAAATAAATCGAAAATAAAAGGTGGGGGCTAAAGTACAATTAGAAGGGCATGGCTTCTCATTATCTTCTAGTACTTTTATATATCAGATGTCTTTATACATTATTTTCATATAATAATTGCAAGGGCCCCCCTATTGTGTTTCTGCACAAGCTAAGAGTGGAGACAGCCAAGTGAATCCATATGGCCTCGCCAGATATAAGAGAAGGATTAATATCTTTTCATACTCACCCAACTAGAATCCAAGTTTCTAATAGTTAATTAAGGGTAACGGTCAAGAACACTAATTAAGCTTTACAAGAAAAAAGATACTTTGAGTGACTTAATGAGACTGATTTCTCCTTCAACGATTTTAAAAACTGTTCTAAAGTCTCTAATCTTAAAAAAAAACCTCCCATCATTCACTTCCCATATGAAGAAAAAAAAAAATTAACCATAAGAGATTCAAATATGGACACACCTGCTCGAAGTTATGCCGCAACATACAATCCAACTGCTATAATTAGTTTTACATATATCTTACATTAAAAACCAATAAAGATTATCTTCATTCATTCATAACAAACCTAAAACTATACTCACTTCCTCAAAATTGAGAGTGTCTCCTGAATCTTCATAGTTTATGACTGTATCTATATTTTGTAATTAAAAGCCGAAAAACTGTTCTGCAATTTAACTCAAATCATATACATAATACAATATTTAGATGAATCAGATCAGGGTTACAAACAAAACAATCGAACCCTCACAAGTGATCTGAAGCTGAAGCTGAGTTGAATTTCAAATATAACATAGTATAAGAAACAAAGGAAAAAAAAAAAATTATGAAAAATAAGAAACAAAACCTCTAATCAGCTAGAATTCTGCAAATTCCAAAACCCATTGGTGCATTCAAACAAAGTTTTAGCATTCATCTCTCTTTCGAACCTCCAGATGTAGTTCAGACCAACCAATAGCTCAGTAATGGCTGCCTCGGTCTTCTCTTTGTTTGCGAAATAGAGTGTTTGCAAGAGAAGAACATTTGCTTTGGGCATCAAATTCTGCTGTTCCAAGCTCCTTTCATTTTGCCACTTTATCATGTTATGTGCCAAAGGTGACAACCACCCCAATATCTTCCCCAAAGCATCCCTCCACTCTCCGGCCAAAACCGGATCACTAGCCGAAAACCCTACCCCTCTCAACCTAGTCCTCAAACATGATCTTACACTACTTGGCAACATGGAGTAAAGATCATCCCTAGCATCGACGCCGACCAATTGTGGTGACCTTATCATCTTCTCCATCACAATGATCAAGTTTGCATAATGTAGAGCAAGAGCTGCAGCACCTAAGGTACTCGAAGGCGGCTTTAGTGCCTTCGTGTTCATGTCGAAGAACCCATTCGCAAAATCCTTCATTTCTTGAAGCTCAGAGCTCTTGATCAACTGCCCTGATACGAAGTTGCATGAATTAGGGTTTTGATGATCAGTAGGGTGGACAGTGGCTGAAGCTGAGAGACTACGCGGTAGGGAAGCTGGATATCCATGTCCAACCCCAAATACAAGCTTGATCCTTGCCAGAACAGTGAAGATTGATCTAGCAAGCAACATAGTCACAGTGTCAAAGCTTCGACTCCAAAGAGATCGGTCTTTTAGATCCTTAACTTCTTGTCTTTGCCACAAAATCTTCTGCTGTAGATCAATGATCTTCTGTTCTTTGATCGAAGCAGATTCGTGTTCACTACACTGTAGTGCTTTCCTCAAACCATTTTCCATGATCGAAAGCTCATCCATCTCGCGATGAAGGGTGGCGGTTATGGTGACAAACCAGTCCATTTTCTTGTTCTTTGCTTCCATTTCCTTCCAACTCAAAACCCAATGGTGAGGATCGCGAGCCGTGTTTGCAAACTCATCGAACAAGCGATCAAAGGACCGGAGATTCGTGTCCACGGACCGTTTACTAATCCTGGACACGGACTTTGCTACGAGCCTCGCATTTTCCACCATCTCTGCGCATGCTAGGCCGAGCAAGAAAGCTTCGTCGTTGGATACAATCTTTTGAACTCCCTCAAGGGAGATGGACTCGTTATGGAGGCGAATTATGTTTTTATCGGAGAGGGATTGCCATAGATGCAATAGCTTCGACATGATTCCGGCGATTTCAAAGGCTAAAACATCAACTTTAGATTTCTTGGCCATTTGTGGCTTTGGTGCTGTGGTGAGTACTGCATCAAAACGGTGAGATATGACTTTCTTCACCTTGATTAATAATGTTTCAAGAGCCATTGAATTTGGTGTAGGGATATATAAAGAATTAAGCCCAATGCAAAAATATTTTTGGGAAGAGAAAGTTAATGCAATTCTTTGGAGTTGATGAGTGATGGGTTGGATGAGAGAGATTGAGGGAACAAAGGGATGTGGAGAGAGAGAAATAATTGAAGAGTGGAGTTGCAGAGATGAGGATAAAAAGGAGAGTTTGAAGCTGCAGGTGTAAGGCTCGTGGGATGTTGAGAGCATTACATATACTTCTAACCAGAAAAGGATTTAAATTCATATTCATAAAGGTGAACAGCAACACACACAGTCTTTACTCGCCAGTCAAACGGTTAGCACAGAAATTAGACGCTAATTAAAAGGAACATTTAATTAAAATCAATTCAAATGTAGAATATAGAAATAATTCGTTATTTACATTTAATTTTTTATTTTTGAAAATTATCTAGTGACCTAGTTAATAAAGCATGCAATTCCTTGACCGGGTGTGCCCATATTCGTGAGGTTTGAATCCCCATGTGTTTGGATCGTGTTGTTTGTATGTTGTATAGCTCGTGTAAAATGATTTTTCTTTTTTCACTAAATAGAGGAGAATAAGAGATTTTTATTATTTTTTTTTATTTTTTATTTTTTTGTGGCTAAAATGGGTAAGAGGAGAAAAGAGTTACTTCATGCACTTGTTGGGTTTTCAATCAATTGGATACTTTGTATTTTCTGTTTGAAGTTCCACTGCTTGCAGAACTTTTGCAATGTCGACTGTGTGTGTTTGTATATATATACACTACACTCTCTTCGTTATTCTATTACTCTATTACTTACATATTCTGAGTTGGTAAACGGTACCTTTCCGTCTGTTTTGAAGCACACATACAATTTTTTTCTAAGATTCTGTTTTCTTCAAAGATGAAGCAATTCAATTCTATCATCTTTGGCTTTTCCTTCTGATTTTCTGAACCATCACTATCTCTTGTTAGCTGGTCTGTTTGTATGTATTAATTGATTTATTGGCCAAAAGGGATCGGATTCAACTAACCTAATGTAAATCACAAGGATTGCCATTAAAATAGTTAATTAAATACAGTTAAACGTCACTAACCCTAATGGCATATATAAGTTTAATATATGAAAAGTTGAAAACCCAGCTTGATTAATACAAGTGAGTATCAAGAAGCCCTAATAAATTTGGGTAGTAAGATTGTATTGTTAAGGGGAATATAGGGAAACCCCACTTACTCATTCACATCACATGGTTAGTGGGAAAGAGTGTTGTTGGGTTGGTGGATTTGGAATCATGAATACAAGGGTTGATAGAGAGATAGAGATAGAGATAGAGATAGAGAGAGATTGATACATATTTGACATTTCTAGAGAGATTGATGATACATATTGGAGTATCAGTCAATGATATGCAAAGTTCCATTTTACTATTACCTTTTGCCTACCAAATGAAGGGCAGCAAACATTAGGCTTGTTTACTTTGTCGGTAATTTCAGAGGCAGGCATCCTACATTTCCATGCGTTGATACAAGTGTGCTTTTTTTAGCAATCAATATAATTCACACCCCCACCCTTCTCTCTCTCTCTCTCTCTCTCTCTCTCTCTATATATATATATATATATGTATGCATGCATACATACATACACACGCACTAATGGCACGTGTGCCACATTTTTTTATATATCTATATGATTATCTCATGGACACTGTTCTATTAAATCTCTCTTTTAAAAAAAATCAAACATTAATGACTTTAAAAGGATATAGGGATTTGGTTTAGAAACAATGATTTATTTTTTTAAAGACGGGTTATGGCGCGATAAGATTATTTTATTGCGATTAAGAAGTCACGAATTCAAAATAAAAAAATTCTTCGGATACCGAAATAGGACTATGCATATCTAATTCTATCCAGATCCCACAGAAAGAAAATTTACAATACTTCGGAGGTACTTACACGCAGTATTCCCATTCAATAGACACAAAATTAAACTCTTATTTTGTCTTAATACATAGGAAATATGAAGTTTTTTTAAAAAAAGAACATTACTAGTCATTGGTGAAAAATAACATAGTAAATACCCTAAGGTAGGGTAAACTTTTTCTGACGTCTAGAATCTGTTCACTTGGCTAGCTCTTTGTTATTTCGAGTATTATTTTCTTTATTTATTGTTATTGCCCCGGAGGCAGAGGAATTTGCAGTGGGTTGTATGAGAAGATGGACAATGCTTGTTTGGACAAAGAGATCTTCGAGAATTGTTGGGAAAAGAAGCCTTCCAATATATTGTTTGATGTATTATTATTACTTGGATTTATTTATACATTTGTCACTTAATGAATGGTTAAATCGCAAATTTTAGATCCGTGGACAGTTGGTCAAACATCTATTGGTAAGTCTAAATGTGTGATCTTGTTCTCAATGATAAAATCATGTTATTAAAGTCAATTTGCAGAAATGTAATAAAAAATAAAGAAAATGAAAGATTGCTTTAATTATAGCATGTTGGACAAATGCAGAGCACCAAACCTTAATTTGGTTACTCCTAAGATATATATTTATCATATAAATAAAATCTAACTACCAACTAGGCTATAGTGCGGATTAGAAATTAGAAATTTCAATATATATCATGATCCAGTACTACAAGTGTACAACTCAAGAATTCGAAATGGGGCTTTGACTTTCTGAATAATTTGCTAATTCATGGTTGGTATATATATCAATCATAGAAGCTTTGAAAATGCTAATGAAGGTGGAGTGTTTAGTGATATTTATTTTATTTTATTTATGTCAACTATTTTATCATGAGTTTATATATTAATGTCAACTACATTTTATTTTGCTTCTCCTTAATTATTCTTGTTCCATCATTTCCTCGTGTTTTACACTCTTATACAAGGAGGGTTGAATATTTTGAAATTTTTGTTAAAGGTGGTACTTAAGAAGTTTTAGTTATTAGATTCATATCTATTTTTTCATAATTTTTTAGAGATAGTTACTTGTGTTTACCTTTTTGCTTTAACCAATCAATCTATCTATCTAGTTTCTGCTTCTTCATATATATATATATATATATATATATGTCTATATAAATTCAAACAAAGATCATGGACGAGATTTCTATGGTCAGAACGTAAGTGTGATGCAGTTATCCACACAAAGGTGTGATGATGCCCGTAATCCATATTAAAAGGCATCATGATCTGTGTGTACAAATAAATACATGTGTGTGTGTGAATATATATAATGTAAAACATAGTGGGAGTGACATGATCACTATTAGCATACACATTTTCACTTGCCTCCAAAACAAAAAACTCAGAAGACCACGTACAACAATAGAGGAACTGTTTTAAAAGAAACCTCGTGAGTTGTAACATAAACTAGTACATGAATGCGAAGGTAGCCCATTCATTGGTGACCATGGGGTCTGAACATTTTCCATGCATTAGACCCCACCCCTTTTGGGTCAAACCTTGCTAGTAAACCTTTTCATGAATGACTCTCACTCCAAAATTCACATCAATATTATGCGAAGCACAATCATTCATCTAAAGCATTTATGAATTGGGGAAGAAATGGATAGGATCAAGAATTATGATGATCATCTATGCTTTGTTTTGACCATTTTTGTAAAAAGGGCAATGAAGGAGAGGTAGTCCAGTTTCTAGACAAACATCTGTTTACTCCACTTGAAAAAAATGGTTAAATGGTTATGCAATTACGAGAGGATCGGTGCACTAACAGCACAGTGATGTACTGTACAAGATGGCTATGATTGTTCACACGTTGAGATAGTTCAGTTTTTACAAAAATAACTGTTTACTCCACTTGAGAAAATGGTTATGCAACTGTGAGATGATCGGTACTCTAACAGCGTAAAGATATATCGCACATGATGGTTGTGAGTGCTCATGCGTGTGAGCAATTATAGTCATTTCTTGCAATATAACACGCGCACTGTACCACGGAGGATGCAGATCAAGCACAGATCTCCAGTGGACTCAGTGAGGGCATCCGTACCAGCTGAATTTTTTTTTTTTTTTTTTTTTTTTTTTTCATTTTAGACCTCTAAATTTGTACCATTTTGCATTTATACCCATAAAAATTTAAAATTACCTCCACTGAAATTAAAATAAATAAATAAATAAATAAATAAAAACCTTTATATAAATTTTCACCCTCAAGATTCGTCCTTGATTCGGATTCTATGTACCTACTAGGAAGAATTGGAGAGTACGCTAGGTCATAAAAGTAATTACACAATTACAAGAAAAAATAAATTAGAGTTGACACCACTACTGGCCACAGGGGCGCAAGAAATGAATCTGAATTAAAAAGGAACTGAAATTAGCTAAAGAATAATGATTTTTTTCCCGAAAAAAAATAATAATGATTTTTCAGCCAAGCCAAAGACTACGGCCCCATGGGTGCATTGTGATCGCCCGAAATCTTCGGTTGTAGACTTCGGCTCAAATAGCATTATTCTTTAGCTAAAATGGAAGGAAAAAATTTCAGCACAGATTATGTTTTGTTCGGTAGGTAGGAATGAAGGAAGAGGGGGTGGAGGGAAGATGGGAATAAAGGAAAAAAACTTTCTTCATTCGATAGAGAGGAAAAAATGAGAAAAATGATAATAGGATGGATGAATCGTACTCCCTGCTTCACAAATTTTTATCCCTCCAAATATGGACGGAAGAGATTAAAAAACACAAGTGAACCTATTATAGAAGTTCGAAATTACCGTACATCTTTCATAAATATTAGATAAACAACGCAAACAAAGAAAGTGACGGGTATAATGATAAAAATATTTTAAAACTCTCTCTTCTCTTCCCTCCAACCGAACAAAGTAAATTATTAGCTTATTCTCTTCTTTTTCATCCAACCGAACAAAAATAGAAAAGAACATAATCTATTCTTTAAGGATGTCTTATTCATTCATTTTCTCTCCCTTTTATCTAATATTTTTCTTTCTTACCGAACAAAGCATTAAAGTAGACCTAAAATTTCACTGAAAAAAGAAATTCAGTCGTGTAACTCACCTAGCGTGGGTGGTTTGCCGAGTAGACAAGGGCCAACCATGCTTCAAGGCATTTGAGGAAATGAAAGGCTGTAAATTGATGTCAAACCACACTCATTTTGCCTTGACCCTCTCAAGCTCTCTTTAGACTCCTCACTAATTTTACTCATCACTCATTTTGCTTTTCTCTCCACCTCACCCCCTTGATGGGTACCAAAGTGTGCATTATTGGATTCCCACTATAATTACTTTTGGGAGATACAAGTCCAAAGAGGGGTTTTGGTGCCATGAGGAGATTACACAAACACACAAACACACAGTCTGAGACACATGTGCGCGTGAGAGCATGCACACTATATATGGACCTCTTATTCATAACAATGTCAATGGAACAACTTTAGTGTGCTTTGCTAGACATTCCTTAAGAAATGGTCCCACTTAAAAGCAAAAACATAAACATGAGGGTAGTACATAGAAGCATCCTATATTGATGAACCCTGCTCACGTGTGTCATTATCATTGTTGACATACAACGACACAAATTATTCTAGCAGTAGCACGTGTATACAGTCCAGCATGAGCGAATTATAGTAGACCTATTTATGGGAATAATTAGGCCTATCTAAATATTGAGTTATGGTGCTCCAACTGTGTCTCAAAGGTAGAAGAGGAATGTGACTTTAGATGCTTTAATCATTCTATAGTTGTGGTAATCTCACAGCTCATTACATAAAATTAGGCTTTCGTTAATGGGAGTTTAAGGCATTATATAGTCTCACACCGAGAATCCAGGTCGTATAACCTCTCCACCCTCAAACAAGGGCCAAAAAGTTCGAGCCCAATAGAGAAAATTTGTGGGTGTGCGAGAATATTTACCTAGCCATAAAGAAACTTATCTGTGTCTCGCATAAAAAAATTTAAGATGGTCCTTCATTTGAATTTTTATACAGAGACTTTAGGTCCTCTGGTTCCAGACACTAAACCTTACACCTCATTTAGATTTCGCTGCTCCAAGAACTGCAGATGTATGGAAATCAGAGTATAGTATACACAAGTACTTAAAATTTACGCCATATATTATCAGAACTACACAAGAATATATCAGGGCACTGCTATTCAATCAGTATCATGAGAGTGAATTTTAATTTTGTTTCCAGCAATATACCATTACGAATCATTGGGTGCCATTGGAGATCCTGTGAAAACTGAATGACTGCTGTGTTTTATACAACATTTGAATCGCCATTAAGACCACAGTGTCACCAGTTTTCACATTTCACTGTGAAATATTACTACTGAATTCACGCAATACCTTCAAGCATGCTCCTCTCTTCCCTATTCAGCAGGAAACACAATTCTTTTCTTTCCAATATTATTGCACACCTCGAAAGTATATTCTTGAGGTGCGTTAAGATGCTGCCAAAGCAATTAGAGCTGTCCCAGAGCTCAAAACAGTTTAAAATGCTTTGCAGAATTCACATTTGCAATGTCAATAGTTGCATCCTAGCGAAGTAGAGCAATTACGCAAGTTGTTCCATCTTCCAAAGAAAATTGCTTCTATTACAAAGCTAGGAGCACTAAACTTGGTTTCTAATAAAATTCCATACATACATACATACATAATATGTGTGTTGATATTTTTCCACCCATAAGAACTCTACTTACTGCATCAACTAACTGGCTTATTATAGTTGTGACATGGATAATGACCAGAAGGCTCAAGTCCAATCACCTTGTTGTGTATTATCCATCTGCATAAAGCTGGAATAACATTCTAATATTCTATGATAATGACAAACACGAATCACAACTGCAACGAAAAACAAAGTTAACTATCAAAGCAGACGACCTTATTATCCATTATCCAAAGGAATATAAGATGATACCATTCTCAATCTCACAAATGCCTCCTTACCTGCAACTCCTAAAACATCTCAAAGAAGCTTTGGCTGCAAAAAAGAAACTTGTCTACATTGCTAAAGAACAAAGGGTTCATTTCAATTAATCACAAGGGTACTTCAAATTAAGTTCCAAAAAAAACACCACAATTTGGAAATGGCATGCTTGTCCTCATAAGTCATAAATAAATGTAGATTTAACCAACATCTAAAGCAATGAAGTTTAAATCAAGGAAAAAAGAGAGACCACAGCACATCAGCTAGAAAATCAAATGTCACCAACACGTACCTCTATGGGTATTTGAAATGCATAGGTTTCCTTCTAACAAAAATTTGAAAGTGTCAATGTTTTCAAGAGAAGCTTTTGCAGGAAAAATGATGTATGACTGCGTGTAGAACAATTTCCTTGACAGCAAAATCACTTTGCCAAAGCATCTCTCTTCAGAAGTGTTTTGAGAGGGTTCCAACAACAAGCACTTGTTGCTCTTGATAACCTTTTTTTCTTGAAGCCTCTATTTAAAGCTCAAAATGATATCCTCGTTCATCTGCATGGAACAAGAACAGTATCAATATTTATACTCCTGCAGCCAGTCAATTGACAATTCCAGCTCCAAACTTACAGATTTGGCAAGCTCTTTAGCTTTTTCATCGTCAAAACCAAACGAAGCCATTATCCTGTGACCTGCTGATTCTTTTTCGGACCAAATTCCAAGAAGCAAATGACTTGTGGTTATTTCTCCACTTTCACCTGCTTTTCACATAATAACAATGTTAGAATAAGGAAAAGAGTTTACAACAGCTAGATATGATGGCATGAAATACGAAAGCTGTGTGAAATGAAGTTATATTTGTTTCTAACAGCAACCTAGCCCAAGTTTGCAAACAGGCACAGCATTTAAAAATCTGATGTCTTCATACATTGCATCTCCATTGTTAAGATCCAAACCAGTTTATAAGACAAAAATCCATGGAGTTATACAACAAACCAAGAAACATATATTTAATCACTGTAATTTTTTCAAAAGAGAACACCAAGCAATGGAGAATTATACATAATTAGTAATGTGGCTTTTACCACCTAATCTCCAAGAAGTTTCCACCAAATATTTTCCCAAACTAAGCTGTCATCATAGCCCCACTTCATTAGTGACAAAATGACCTGCTTTCCAACAGAGCAAAAAGAAGTAATATTTTTGCACCCAAAAAAAATATTACATGGAAGTATTTTGTTTTCGCTTAGTTATTCACAAGGAGAAACACCAAACATTAAAAACTAAAATAATAAGATCATTGGATGGTGTGTCTTGACTACTCTATATTCTGAAATTAAGCAGTCATCATAGTCTAGCCCCATTAGCAAAAAACCAGTTAGCTGAAAGCAGTAGAAAGATGTAACCTTTTCACACCTAGAGAAGTATCAAATAAAGTATTCTGTTTACAAATACTCAGTTCTTAGCAAGGAGATTGGGTATTTCACAATTGCATGCAACCCCATGCATACATATAGCATTCAAACCCCATTTGTACATTCTAAAAGAAATCGTTATTGTTATCCTATACTTAATGTGGAAGTTATTAGGTATGTCTAAATCTTGTTTACACATATTCATGGTAATGCACCAATTAGAACCCAAGGTAGAGCTGCAGAGGTGGAAATATTTTGTGTCCTAACATTTGCAAAACTTCACTCAGCAAAACATATTTTAGTACTAGAAATATCAAATTGTAATTATGAGAAGAGACTCTCCCCATATGGCATATACTGCATGGAATATCCTTTCAAAGTCCAAACAATTTTCCGGAAAGATCAGTCCATTGGTACATGGAATGTACATCAAGAAGTACGCATGATCTATAAATTCCAATTGCAATTTGACCTCATTTAAAAGCTTATTTTAGCCATGATCGAAGTTAAAGTAAAGTTTCATTATTCTTTGCCTTTATATAGTCATAAGGAAACATCAGTGAAGGATAATGAGCATTAGAAAAATGAAGTTGACACAATAATTGCAACGGTCCGGGTTTTTCGCGATCCGACCCAAAAGCTTAAACTATTAGGTAGTGCTAACACCCAACTGATATATACCCATTGCACTTCCCATCCGGATCCAATGTGGGACAAGACTCCCCTTGTAACATTCTCCCCCACGCGAACGCGCAACGCCCTCTTGCGGTCGGGCCACCCGGCCTACCCGGGGTGGCGCACCTAGACACCTCCAGGCCGGGCGCTTAGTGTGACACCAAATACCCATTTTACTTCCCATCCAGATCCGATGTGGGACAAGATTCCCCTTGTAACAATAATCCACTTTATGTTCCCTGCAGTTCCAAAGCATGGATTTGGTTTCTTGGTGGATAGCCATTATAACACTGAACTATTTGAAATACTTAAATGGAAAGAAGTGCAAGAATCTTCCCTGATAAGAATTTTCAGCTGAAAAACCATTCATCATCAGTTGGAAGATGCCAAAAGAAGATGATGGCTTGAAATGTTTTTATATGTCCAAGGTCAGGAAGCTTATTTTGTAAGAGTTTCTTGGGGGGAATTTAGTATGACCATAAAATGGTATGAAACATTCACCACGAAACATGATTTGGTTCAGAAATTTGTACTATTTCTCCTCTCCTGGTATTGCTTTTGAAACTTGGGGATTAGCCTAATATATGGGATCCTTGAGAGGATTTAGATTGTTAAGGTGCAGATTTTAGAAGAGTGCTTCCAAACTCAGATGTTCCTTCCAGGTGAAGACAAAATTATAGGGGTATGGAGAAAGGTCAATTTCTAAGGTGTGTGTTTAGCACGTTTAATCTCGCTTCCAATAGTATTTGATGGAACAATATATACAAAATGCTTAGAAAGAAAAGAAAAAAACGTGGGCCAGCCAATACTCCAGATAATCTGAATATGAATATCAAAATCAAACATTAGGATTGGGCTAGTCTCTCGCAAAGCCTTTCTAGCCTAAGCTTTGAGCAACTTTAGTCATTTCTTAATTCATTATTATATTCTCTCGTATTTTTAATTGTGATGGTCTTCCCTGGCAAGATTTATATGGAACCTATGCTTCCTCCTGACCACTTCAATTTGAAAGAGACTGTAGCTCTGCACAATAACTAAAAACTAATACTAAAACAAAACACATAATTGTATGTCAATATACTCTGCTCCAATGTATGAACCAAACAGAGGTGTATCATCAGCATTTTACTCCCAACTAGAGGCTCTCCAAAACGTCACTTCTTAAAATCCATCCACAAAATGTCATATAATTATGTACTAGATTAAATCTATGAGATGTTTAAACTAAGAGAACTTCCCAATACCTTACAGTGGTACGCACAAGCCCAATATATAAGTGACTTTCTACTTTTTAATTCCTAAAAGCTGACAAGGAGTTCCATGCAGGATCATATTCATCTTACATCAAAAACTTACATGGCTTCCAATTACTACTGAAGTACACAAGCCAAAATCCAACTGACCTCACAAATAAACCTAAATAATTAACAGGCAGAAGTCCTAGAAATACTGCAAAATTATTTTCAATACTAAAAAAATACTATATATCTACCCACTGTAAGACAACATTACCTGACTTCAGTTTCTCATCAATGGCCCAATCAAGAGCCCTCTGAGCTGGTTCAGTCAGTGGTGGATGTTCGGGACTGAAAAAATACATGTCAGATTTTCCAAGTAACTTTACAGTTTCTTCTCGTACTTTGAAAAGTGTTATTCCATTGGCCCTCAAAAATTTTGCAGCTAAACTAGTTCCTGAAGAAAAAGAAGAGGAAACCATGAAACTAATAAGTAATTGTAAAACAATTATTGCATTATCTTTCACTGAGGTAAACTTGTGTACTAACATACGAGAGCCCTTGAAAGCAAACATCCTATGATTTCAATTCGAAAACCCCTCCTTATATTCATAGAATTTTCATCAGTTATAGTTTCATCGTTTTCATTTTTCACAACATGGATGAACTCACTCGCAAATATGAAAGGCTACAAATATACACCAGATTGGGAAGTAAATCAGTAATGTCAATGCATCCACAAATTTGAAGATTTGGCTGACAAGCATCCATCCCTACATCACAGTGGGGAATTATTCTCCAGATGTCATGTTGGGCAACCGATACACATACATATATAAAAATGTTGAACAAAATGTTCACAGCCACGTGCAGATGTGCATTTCACAAACTGCCCACAACATGGCTGGAACTGCTCACCTTCCCTTTGAGGGAGGAGAGTTTATACCATTGAGCTAATGGTCCATTGTTGATGGGCATTGTAAGTTCACCATGTGGCAATAAATGAATTTAAAGATGTTAACTTTCTAAGTAAAAAAATTAAAGATTTTGTTCATCATTTGGTAATGAATGAATTTAAAGATGTTAACTTTCTAAAAAAATTAAAGATGTTCAAAATCACTAACCCTATTTAGAGGAAACAATGACTAACCTTCAACCAGAATCCCCATTAGAAGAGCTTCAGTCCCGGTATTAGGGTACTTGAGCTTCCTTGCTTCCAATTCACCCATTGCAAACGACTTTATCGACCTCGCAGACCATCTAAACATCAATACAAACTACTGCTCAATCAATATACACCAACCAAAATAGCAAATTGTAACCCATATAAAAAAATAATAATAATAAAAACTCACTTTGGGGCTTTTTCAGGCGATACTCTCTCCGGTTTCCTGCAAAAACCAATCAATCACTGTCACTACGTCAATTTTCATACCATACATAATACACACGCACATACATATATATATATATATATGTTCGAACTATTTTAGAACTTACGCAGTTGGGAGACTAAACAAGACCGTAGCGACTGCTGCAGGACGATGCTTTGAAACCTGAGGCCTCCAATTCGAGGGTCGAATTGAGAGCTTGTTTCCAATTAAAGAACTCAATAAATTGTTTGACTTGATAATAAGAGGAAGTGATAATGGATAATCATTGGGTTTTCGACAAGAAGGTTGAATTGGAAGTAGTGAGAGTGAATAGGTGGCCATTGATTTGCAGTAACCCTAGGTTTCTTGAGGTGAATTGGAGATTGAAATGTTCAATTTTGAGTGGCGTGTGCTACTGTGCAAATATGGATTGCTTCTCATACACTCTCTCTAGCTTTGCGCGGATTTATGCTAAAACTGATATGCAAGCTTGGAATAATCGTGGAGGGCAGAACTTTTAGCGCCACGTTTGGAAGGAAGCGGATGAAATGGAGAGAAAGGAAAGGAAAGGAAAGGGAAGGGAAGGGAGGGAAGGAATTTAGGATGTATTTGGATAAATAAGAAAGAAAATAATAGAAAAGATAATATTAGTTATGAGAGAAAAGAAATGATAGTAATAATTTTTATTTGTGTTTGGATAGATAGGGGAGAAATGAAAAGAAAGCCTAGATATTCTTGTTTGAATAAGATAGAAGAGAGAAAAGAAAAGAAAGAATAATAACCAAATTACTGTCCTACCCTTTTATAACTTACTTCATACATTATCTATTTCTAAAATCTTGTGGCTTTTTTATAATTCAATGCCATGGGTAAAAACAGAAGTAAATAATAATAATAATAATAATAATAATAAAAGTATTACAAAGTTAAGATGAACCATTCAACATGGTTGAAGGTAATAGCAGTCTTTAACTTTTTTTATGAGCACGTGAAAATTTTATTTTTGTTGTATCTGTTATACATATCTGACTCAATCCCTTCCTATCTTAAAATTTTTAATAACTTTTAGCATTGTCATACATCCTTGCATTCCGCTAAGCATATTGGGACATAAATGAAATTACATTTCTATATGTTGATTTGTTGAGGGTATTTTTGGTATTAATAATTTATAACTTATTATATATAAGGGATAGGGAGGGATAGTTCCCTCCCTATCTCTTTCTATTATTTCTTTTCTCTTCACTTAACCTACTTAAACACACTCTCACATTATTCTCTCTTTTCTTTTCTCTCCCTATCCCTCCAAATCAACCCTACCAAACACACGGGGTGGACGAGGACGGGGCACCATTTTACAAATCCAACCCATCAATTATTTTGGACTTACATTATGTGTGTTGTGAAATATATATATATACACAAGTAGATTTAGTAATTAAAAAAAAAAATTCAAAATCACTAAATAAGATGCCCAAATATTAAATTAAAGTCACACAATTTTTTTTAACGAATACCACTTTCACATTTTTAGTGCACTCTTTCTTTTTTCGTGTGAATTCTCTTTCTCATTCTCACTTTGTGTAACTTAAACGATTTTTCTTTTGCACTTCGCGCACTCTCTTTTTTTCTTTCTCACTTTTTGTAATTTAAACGCTCTTTCTTTTACACTTCACGCACTCTTTTTTTTTTTTCATTCTCACCCGTATGACTTAAATTTTATGATTTTCATATTCTCACTTTCAAATTCGTTATCACTCTTCCTTTCACCTCAGTTTTATATAACTTAGATATTAAGAATAAAGTAACGAAAATCCAAGAATTTTAAGGTAGAAGAAAAAAGGAGTCGAGGTGGTCAGCACAAAACAATTGATTGGATCCTCTACAAAATAATTAAAAAAATAAAATTTACAGGATATTGTTAATGGGTCCACGCCATTTAATAGTACACAGTATGTTCAGTTACCAAGATTATCTTTGTAAGCGAACATTCTGTATTGAAACATTGGAAGAGACAGAAGATCATGAACTATTATTTGATATATATACATATAGGTATGGATGTAGACATTAAGATATGCAATCCCAGAAGATATGAATTAATCTTTGATGAGATAAAATTGAGGGAGACCAAAAAATATGAGTAGTCACCATTTTTCTGATCAAAAAATTATCACCAATCGACATGAATGGATCTAGAAATTGATACGAAGGGGACAAATTTATATAAAGGATTTATTTTTTATAATTTTTGTGGGGAGTAATTTTAAAATTTTATGATTACAATTGTAAAAAAGTATAAATTTAAAAATATAAAATATAATAACAAAAAATTTCAATGGGACGAATGCCCCCACACAATAAATCCCTGTCAATTAGAACATGACATTAGAGCCCGGAAATTACCGATGGTAACAGGACCTCCGTAAATGGTACATTATGAAGAATGGAGAGTTGGGTCCATTTAAGGAGAATAGTCCGAATGGATCAATCTACCAATATAAAAGAAAAGGCCCGATCCATACCAAAGGGCCAAAGCAACATCGTTTCAAAATGGAAAGAGAAGGCCTGGCAGAGTCCCCTCCTCCATCATTATGAGTAAATAGGGATGGCAATTTGCCAGGCAAAGTCAGGTACCCGCCTCATTTATAACAATTTTGGAAAATTGTATGTTTAGTTTATTTAGATAGAGATGATTTTTATTAATGAAAATTCACACGGGTGCAGAGGGAGGTCACCTTGCCCAACCCTATTTCGTTTAGGTAGGTAAATTATTAAATTATTATTATTTTTTAGTACTATATTAGCTCTAGAAATTTAGGCCACATTCACTCACTTTCTCACTGGTTTTAGAGAGCGTCAAAGCCCTGCGAACTAAGAACGCTCAGACCCTTGAATTTTATGTTAAATTATTGATTACCCATTTATTATGAATTTTTTCAATAGTTATATAATTGAATTTGAGGAAAAAAATTAAAAAATGAAGATAAATTTTGGAACTAAACATGTTGGGGCGGGAACCGTGGGGTTGAAAAAGTTAAACAGGGTGGGAATAGGGTGGAAAAGCCTCGGTTTAGGCAATTTTAAGCGAACATAGTACGAGAGTTTCTAAACGATTACGAAAGAGGTACACCCGACTTAAATCGGCCCGTTGCCATCTCTTAGGAGAAAGAATCTAGCAAATAAGAAAAAAAAAAATTAAAAATACGGAAATAACTTGTATGGCAAGGGATAACTCCGCGAAAGATCTTCCTTTGCTAATTTTTTGTGTTATGTTCTCAAGTATTTAAAGCAAGGACTTTGCTTGAACGTATAAATAGTGGAAAGCTCAAAGCTTATTGGTTCATTATGTTCATATGTAAATGGTTGCATTAGGAACTATAATAATGCTTAAAAAATGAATATGTAGAAACAAAATTTTTAATGCAATTTTAATAAAAGCAAAAACCTTATTTTTGTATTTAAAAAAAAAAAGTGAAAAATGTATATAAATAATAGAAAGTTGTATAGACATAGATAGTATAGATAAAATCATTCTTCTTATAATTTAGTAGCATTAGCATAATGTATTTAGATACTTAAAAAAAGAAAAAAGAAAAAAATGAGTGTAGTAACCCTTCTTTAATCTCAGAAAAAATAGAAAGAAAGAAAAACTATATGTTGTTAAATATCGTGAGTATTGAGGCAAAACATGAATTCAGTTGTTTAAAAAGAATAAGCGAAAATATATATATATATATATTCAAGAGTGGTTGATATTGATCAGGGAGGCAATTAAACTGGTTAAAAAGCTGGGATTATAACAATGTCCATTTAAATTTGAGGGAGATTGCAAAGGGGGTTATGTCTCAATCCATCGACAAATGATAGTCTGTGGGCTGTGGTGTTTACTTGTTAGATGATGCTAGTGTAATGCGCGCTCATAGGAGTTGATAAGAGAGTTCTCTCTTAAATGGCCTCCCTGCAGTTGCAATTGTGTTGTCCATGAGATTGGAGATGTGGCCTCAATGGCTGCTCCACCTATTGGATGTTGATTTTTCTGCCTATTCAATGAATTGTTTACCTTTTTGGGGAATTTTTTTTTTTTTTAAAATGCAAGTTGTGCCGGTACATTCCGAACGGTTTTAATATAAGTATTTCACATTTCCCTTACTCAGAGTACGTAGAACTGTGCATCTGTAACATATCCAATGTAGTAGTCTGCTAGTGCCTTTTGTACCTCGCCCACAATGCTGACAAGGTCGCCACAATCCACCCCTTAGGAGTCCCGACGTCCCCATCGGCACACTTCTAACTGGATCATGCTCTAATATTATTTGTAATGGCCCACACTACTATATGGTATGATATTGTCCGCTTTGAACCAATCCCGTACAATTTTGCTATTGAATTTTATCTCCAAAAAGTCTCATACCAATTGGAGATATCATCACAACAAATAGACACTTCATCTTTTTTTTTTTTACGATCTATGCACCTGTAGCTTGTCCACCTGCCCACAAAACCGCCACACATGCAATGAGCAAACATACTTTGGGTTAAAAAGTTAGGAATTTTTATTGGGATTTTTGGTATGAGTGACTGTTGAACGTGACTTACTCTCTATAATTTTATTTTATTATTATTATTAATGAATTATAAACTTCTGTTTGGTGCTCAAAGCATAAATACTTTTGACACTTATAGAATTTTCTCAAATAATAACTAATTACCCTCTATAATTTTATTTTTTTATTATTATTTTTTTTACTGAATGATAAACTTCTGTTTGGTGCTCAAAACATAAATAAATATTAAGAGTTTGACACCTATAGAATTTTCTCATATAATAACTAATTATAAATATTCTGCTAAATTTTATTTATATATAGAACATTTAGTGGAGTGATTATAAACATCAGCTTAACCTAACTCATGGGTCTCTTAGTCAAATAATAATAATAAAAAATTAAAAATTAAAACAGATGAGTCTCTCATTTTGGTGTTTGTAGCATAAAGTTATTGAACAATTATTATACAGTCAAAAAAAAAAAAGTGTAGGTCCTTGGGAATTGCTTAAATAGGGAATAACACTTGGAAACAAAATCACGTAAAAGAAAGATTCTATGATTTTAATTCTTTCCAAAAATAAAAAAGGTCATAAATAAATACTAGTACCAATTACGCTTCATTGGTAAAAGTTGCCGATTCGGTACTTTCCATGATACGACCTTCCTCTATATACTCTCAAGTAGGGAGAGTGGCCAATTTAGCGGCCATTTATTCTCTTCCGATCCTCATATTCAACAAATTCTCTCTCTCATGCTTTCGTTCAACAATTTTTGCAATGTCATGATCAAATTTTCTTTTGAATTTCTGATTCTAAATGATTTGCCTTTCCAGTCTTTGAATTTGATGGGAATAATCGAGCCAATTAGAAATTCTGAAATTTGAATTTGGTGAAGGTACGAGTTCTTTATTTTTAGTTCTGTGTTGCGTTCTTTAATAATTTAGAGTAATCTATAACTGAATTCGTACGTTTGTTTGTCGAGAAAATGGAGGGAAAAAGGAATTACAATTTTCATTCTGACGTCGATTGGGTATCCAATATTTGAATAACTTCACTCAATTAAAGCCAGAAGCCTGAATTAAGATATGTTGATTGTGGAAGGTTTTAAACAATGAAAAATATAAGATTTAAATTTTGCTTTTGTTCTCTCTTCCCACGTTTTACTAGCAATGAAACGGAAGGTTAATTCTAATTTTAGTTTTGTTTACTTGTTGTATGATTCATATCACTGCTCAATTTCATTATTGGAAATTGTTTTAGCTGAATTTGGATGTCTGAAGGAGATCAAGAAAATTTAGACCTAATGTACTGTTTTTGGTAAAATAATCACTTGAATGTTGCGAAAAATGGCTTTTCTTTGAGGAGCATTTTTGAAGATCATTGTTATCTTTGAAGTCTATTTAAGGAGGGTAACATCTCCTTGAACATTTACTCCATTGAAACTGGGAGTACAGATTTCATATCTCTATTTACACACTTATTGAATTGGTGATTCTGTGATGTGCAATATGGTCTCAAGTAATCAAGTTGGTTTCAGGAGCGCCTATGCATTGTGATTGAATTTTGTAACTTGATCTGGAAAGCCATGACTTCGAATTCATTCAAAGGGTCTCAAACAATGGTTGCATATCCGAGGACTCTTTTATCGATTGCAGCCACAGGGGGAGGACTTGCCATGTTCTTAATTTTGGCTTCATTGTTTCTGGTCTCACAACCAAGTAGGCCTGTGCTTCATGGGTATGTCTACAGCAGTGGTCATTCAAGCAGATTAGATTCAGTGTCACGGAGCAATAAGACAGTCACTGATTCTCTCCATGATGGTAATCTTGAAGATTCAATAGATTTGGGTATACCTATGTCAGGTTCCAACAGAACTGTAACTATTTCTCAGCATGATAATCCTGACATTGATGATCCGAGAAGATCAGATTCAGCTCCTGGTTTAACACAAGATAGGAAGGACATTGGTAATTCTGTTTCTTCCAACATTACAGAGGGTGTCAAAAATGCTAAACCCCCCTCAGCTCCGGTGCTCAGCCACATAAGCCAGACTGGTCCAGGTGATTCAGGTACTACCACCCTCCCACTTCTCTTTCCTTTTTATTATCTGTGATATTATTGTTGCTCAGTAATAAGTCCTCCTTACTTCTCACTTTCTCTTTCATTTTGTTCTAATGTAATTAATTATTCTCCATATATAAATTTGAAATTTTTGAGTAAATCTACTTTATTAGTTGTAAATGTATGAATGGTATGTTGTTATTAGTATGCTTAGTTCATCAGCTGGTCATTGTCTATTTGTCTGTATTTATGCTTTTATTATGTTGCTTTTTCTTTATTTATTACAGAGATAGACCATACATTTTCACATTCCCATGCATTCAGTTTTGTTTTTCTAATGAGAAGTACAAACAAAACAGTCAGAAGAGTCTTTGGGATTCATGCTTATGAAGGGGGAAAAAAAAGAGAAAGGACATCAATAGTTGGACATCTATTATGCTTTTTAGTTTGCAAAATTCTTGCCAATAATTTTTCTGCACATTCAAATTAAAAAATGTGATAAATATTTTGTAGGGGCCTCATAAATCACTATTAGATTTTAGTTCACATAGGTTGTACCTTTTAACATTCATCAATAGATTTTTAATGATTTGAAATGTCTAAAATTGATTCGAGGGATGACCACTTCACATATAAGTTGGTGAAGTCCCACGCGGAATGCCGTTGCGTGGCACAGGATCTGTAAAGAAGATACAAGATACTGCTGAGCTTGCAGCCAGTGGTACTTTGAATATCTATTGTCCCTGTCATTTCCTTTTTAAAACTTATTTAACCTTGTCAAAACCTCAGCTTTTTTTTTTTTTTTTTTTTTTTTTTTTACTTTTCAATTTCATACTCAATCTTTTGCTTATTTGAGTGAATTCCTCATCTTATGGGAGAAGCACATTAAATAAATAATTTTTTTCTTGCTTAGTGTTTAGTATTATTGTGCATTTCTCAAATCTTTGATAGCATACAAACAGTAGAACCCGCTAGACTCACCATTTCACCTGTGTTCTATTGACATTTGATAAGGTGAAAATACTCAGTCTGATGTTTTAAGTGTAATTAACATGTCTTTCCTTCCATTCGTCTCACGGTTTTACAATACAGTGGGTGATTTTTGCAACCAGGTCATTAAATGGAGCAGATTCGTGTAAATTGAAGTCCTTAATTATATTTATTGCCAGAATTTGTACCGGATCCGAATCCAAGTCCAACTTTTTTTTTTTTTTGCTTTTACAAAATAATGTCCAAACAGTCCAATATGTATGATCCTCAAGGCCTTGTGACTTTTCACAAGCAGATCTGTTCATATTTTTAAAAAACTATTGCTCCTTTATATATTTTCCTTAAAACTTGATTTGACTTTTTATATATTTTTGTCTAACTTTTAATTTGCCTTTTCTCTTGTTATTATATAGGATGTGATCTGTATCATGGAACGTGGGTATATAATAATTCAACTGGACCATTATACGCACATGACTCGTGCCCCATCCTGACACAGATGCAGAACTGCCAGGGAAATGGGAGGCCTGACAAGGAATATGAGAATTGGCGATGGAAACCTGCTCAGTGTGACCTCCCACGGTTTGATGCCAAGAAATTCCTGGAGTTGATGAGAGGGAAAACATTAGCTTTTGTTGGCGATTCTGTTGCTCGGAACCAGATGGAATCTCTGATGTGCATTCTTTGGCAGGCAAGTATCAAAGCCTTTTATAATGATCTAACTGCATGAATGGAAATCCTTCTTCCAATTGGGTTAGCAGTTTACTCGAATGGTGCCTCAAGGCCCTCAACTACATCCTGATTAGTGGATTTTATGATTCTATTCTATTCATATATGTCAATTTGATTGACAAAGTATTCATTCACCTTTCCTGATAAGGCAGATTGTATATTGGCTATTTGAACAATTTTACTTCAAACCAATTAGCGCAAGATTCCATGGTCTTCATATTGTTTTCCTATTGGTTACTGATTTTTTCACTGTACTCCTATCTCTTTTCATGCAACGTTGTTGTTTTTAGTTTGTTACAGTACTCTTTTAGTGTCTCTTCCTATTAAAGGTACTATGTTGCAATTCTGTCCATAGAATGAAGTTACTATAATATCGTCTCAATGATCAGGGTATACTGTTTAGCATTTTATCAGAGTAGATAGTCGTTTTGAGTGGAGAGTGTATATTCTGCCTGTTTTGACTTCTACAATATGACACATCATTGGCAAATATTTGTCAGAGTGGTTCGGTCAATTTCGAATAACTGGCTATAAAGTTTTACTGTTCACAATAGAGTTTGGATTTCACCTGAAAATGCACAATAGGTGGTTTCACACTTCAATTCAGGTTTCACTTGAAATGCACAATGGGTGATTAAATTGGGATAAGGCTAGAAGGTTTCTGAATAGAAGTCCTTTTTGCCTAATCAGTGGCAGGGACTCTCATCGAAGAAATTTTACATAATGTAGGGAGACAAATAGAAAATTCAAAACATGGGGACGAAAGGTATACATCAAGACATGGTAAAACCAGTGAAGAAAGATGTAAATATCTATATTAGAAAGAAAAATTGAAGTATATTTGAGTATTTATCATTGTATACTTGTCTGGGTGGGTCATAGATTACATCTAGATTTGCAATTTAGGTCTTTCCATCCAGCTTGGTGAATAAGAATACAGCAAGACGTTGTGACACCTTGGAACGTAGATTATGGTTGGCTGTCTGGCCCAATTTTAGAAGTTCAGTTATTATGGGTTCTGGCTCAGGCTTTATAAGTTAGACCCTGTTTGGCTTGGCCTGGACAATTTTATGGCAGCCATAATGAAGCTATATGTTCCTCCTTTTATAACTAACAGGGGCCTACTTCGGTTTCCAAGTTCTTAATGAAGTTATATGGTTTATTCATTTTGGCTTGCAAGTTGTAAAGATTTTACAAACCAAAGAAAGAAGTAATAAATAAATTCTCAGTTTTTATTTCTTTTAATAGTTGCTCTCTTTTTCTTTGAAGTATCAGGTTGTATGGTGTTCTAGGCCATGATAATTCCTATTGATCCCACTTGACTCCACCCCGCCTCACCTCAATTACATCATTTGATCCCGTAGTGCATGAAGTTTTATTATATTGGTTATTCTAGCAAAGTTTAGTTTTGTACATTCCTCTGTGTGTGTTGTATTTCCCCCTTTATTTAATCTTGAGGTCTATCATTTTTTTGGCAAGTAATTTGAGGTCTCTATGTGCAAAAAAAAAAAAAAAAAAAAAAAACTTGAGGTCTCTAGTGGGTTTTGGAGATGTTTCAATCCTTAAAGGTGACAGATGGTCCCTTCTTTTCTTTTCTTTTTTTACTTATAGTTATTTAGTAAATGAAGAACATAATGTGTATGTTGTTGGACCTTTGGCAGCCCAACTTTTTCGATTGCTTTGCTTTGCTTGGCTTGGCTCAAGCTAGATAATTGCTATGCTTATTAACAGCTTCTTCCTACTCCCTACACAATACTGTTATTTCCTGATTTTGAAATATTTCAGATCGAAGTTCCACAAAACCGCGGGAACAAAAGAATGCAACGTTATTATTTCAGATCAACATCAACTACGATTATCCGGATATGGTCCTCATGGCTTGTCCACAAAACATCCGAGCCATTTGATTTTGCCCCAGAAGGTGTGGTCAAGCTTCACCTTGATGCTCCTGATGAGGTCTTCATTGAATTCATCCCGAACTATGATGTGCTTGTCCTTTCATCTGGCCACTGGTTTGCAAAGCAATCAGTATATATCTTAAACAATGAGATTGTGGGAGGACAGCTGTGGTGGCCAGACAAGTCTCGCCCAATGAAAATTAACAACATTGAAGCTTTTGGAATATCTGTTGAAACTATTCTCACAGCTATTGCTACGCATCCAAATTACACCGGTTTGGCCATAGTGCGCTCCTTTTCACCTGATCATTATGAGGGCGGCGCATGGAATACAGGAGGATCGTGCACTGGAAAGGTAAGGCCTGCCCTGGATAGTGAATTAGTGGAAAATGGATTTACAAATATAATGCATGAGAAGCAGGTGACGGGATTTAGCCACGCAATCAAGAAGATGACAAATAAATCAAAATTGAGATTGATGGATATCACAAAAGCCTTTGGATACCGCCAAGATGGACATCCAGGCCCCTATAGGAACACTGATCCAAATAAGATCACGGTACGTGGCCCAGATGGGAAGCCCCCTCCTCAGGATTGCTTACACTGGTGCATGCCCGGTCCAGCTGATACATGGAATGAACTGGTCCTTGAAATCATAAGAAGAGAATTTGAGGGCAGCCAAAACATTCCTTCACGAGATGTTAATTAACTAGACAGCATTCTGGTGCTTCTGTAATTTAAAGGGTGATCTGCCATTCAAAATCTAGTGAGTTACGGTTAGGTGAGGGCTATCATGGTCATATTCTTTCATGATACCCTGTAGAGAAAATAGCATTTGTGACAAGAAGCCTTTTTGTGTATTACAAGATTATTTTCTTTTTCAATTTACGTACAGAAAATATATACTGAGAGAGAGATTAAGAGCCATTGCTTATTTAGATGTGTGCAATCAGAATAATTTATAAGAGATTTTCATTGGTTTCTCCTTCTGTTTCAATAATCTTACTTCTGGTGCAGTTTGTGTAGGTAAATCACTAGTCCTATTCCCGAGGTCATGGATGTTTGAGAAATGTTTTTAATGTGAGCAGATGATACTACTTTTTTGGCAATGGATGATTGAGAAATGTTGGTTACTGTGAGCAGATGATACTAGTACTTTGTACAAAAAAAATAATAATAATAAAAAAAAAGATAAATAAAAGAAAATAAATATCGGAAGCTTCCTTTGTCAGTTTCGTATGTGGTTATCTTGGAACTAACCGGAAATGATGATGGGGAGCCTGTAGAGTCTGTACACCAGCTTGTGCAGGGAATCACATTGTGAGCTTCGCGCCTTCACCTGTGTGAAGCTACTGTCCAATGCAATACGCAATACAACACCTGCAGAGTCTCAGACTCTCAGTGTACAACTTGTGCAAAGAATCACATGGTGAGCTTCGTTTCACCTATGTGTTGTGTTGTACTACGGAGGAGATTGTTCTGTTAGGAAGAAACTAACCTCACTGCATGGATGCAATGCCTGTCAATTTTTATGCAAACCGGAAAAATAGCTTGGTGGCAATATGCAAGTCCCCCACATCCCTAGTTCAAAATTTAATGTCGTGTTACTTATTATACATAAACAGCAAATACAAAACATTGCTATTGAACATATTTCAATAGTAACAAAATCAAGCAATTCAATCTAGTTTGGCACATGTCTGTACCTAAACCGCCTTTTTCTTCTGATTTGCTGAGATTGGTTTTGATGTACAAGTGAAGTTCTGTCTTCATTTTGAAGCATGTTGACTTTTTAACCCATGTTGACTTTTTAACCGAGATTGTGAGGTTGAATTTATCAATTTCAAAATAAAAGGGCCGAGTGTTCAATTCTTTATAGGGCAAAAATGAGATGGCTCATGCTCTTGCAGCGCTGTCTAGAGGTCATCTTGTCAAGGATATTGCTCTTGTCTCTGTTCCTTTTCATATTTGCTGTCTAGCAACCAAAAATTGTTCATGTTAATTTTGTGCTGATTCTTGTGGTGTGTTTGCCAGGTTTAAAATATATATATATATATATATATATATATATGAGGGCAAAAATGAGTGTGTGATTTATAGGGTAAAAATGAGTGTGTGAGAGTGTGTTCTGCCTATTTTTTTTTTTTTTTTTTAAGTCTTTATAGAGCAAAAATAAGTCTGTCTTGCCTTGATTTTCTTCAGTATATTTGACTTCTTTTTCTTTTATTTTAACTCAATTTCTCTTATTTAGAGGCCACATTTCTAATTGGTCACGTAGCGTATTTATATACTGTAAATTGGTTTGCATTTTACCATACATTGGAGTGCGATAATAAATTTTCTTTTTTACTAAGTTTTGATTATGATAAAATAATAAAGTTAAAAAAATCTCAATTAATGATTATTAATAATCTCCATAAAAAAGAATGAAAGTTATGACTAGTAATGGGTCGAATATATAAATTTGAATATAAATTGACAGGATTGTGTATTTCAAAAATCTCAATTTGATCCAAAATCTAAATAAATATAAAAATATTATTTATGTATAAATTGAATTTATTGCTTTATATAATATCTTAAATTTTATTTCTCTTATAGTTCTTAATTTAGTTCTCAGTTTAATTTTTTTTAAATCGAATTTTTAATCTGAACGGTGTGGGATTTGGGTTCGAGCCGGAACCGGTAGTTGATCTGGTCCGTTGAAAGTTTTGTAAGACTTCTGGTAATTTTAACGTTTTTCGCCGTTGTTCTCTTTAACCTTGTACAGGAAGGGTTTTGAAGCGCTCGTTACATTATCCACATCACAGCCGGTGACGTTTGTATCCTGGTCATTTGAAATTCAAATATTTCTCGTTCACTCAAACCCTCCTCATAAAACCCCAATCACAAACGCTCATCATCAACGGTCGAATTCTTAAAAGTCTTGTCTCTCTCTCTCTCTCTCTCATCTAGCTTTCTCTTTCTCTCTCTCTCTCATCAAGTTTGAACCCTGTGATCTCTCAATTCCTCTCTCTCATCAAGTTTGAACCCTGTGATCTCTCAGATAGAAGGATTCGTCTAATAATTAACATAATTTTGGGTGCAATTGCAAGATCGCTTGCTCAGGTTTGTCTCCTGATCTCCAATTTATTGTAGTAGTTGATTTGTTTTCTTTTATGTTTGATTGTTGAGTTATTAGAGTAAATTAAGGAAATCGGTGCTGTTTGGTTCTCCTGAAATGATCGAATTAGTCAATTCAGCTGGATTTGTTTTTTTTTTTTTTCCCTGTCACAAGCTCTTGGAGATGAAAAGGTTTTGTCGTGAAAAAAGTAGTTTGAGTGAGAAACTAAAAAAATAAAAAATAAAAATAGTATAGTTCGCATTCTATGAATTGTGTGTGTTTGTGTTTTGTATATGAAATGATAATGACTTCGGGTGAATGGGTTTAGTGTTCATAATTGTAAATTTGAAAATAAAAACCGAACTATGTATAACCTGCAGTGATTTAGATTTTTCTATTCAGTAGTGGGTTCCAACTATGGAAGCTGAACTAGGGTTTAGAAGGTTTACCAATATCTCACATAATAAGCATATATACAACTAAACAACATCAATGTTTGAATTCGACAAGATATGTGGAATTGTTTCATCAGAAACATGACATAAGTATCATATATACAACTAAACAACACCAATGCTTGAATTTGACAAGATATGTGGAATTGTTTCATCAGAAACATTAGATGGTTTTTTATTGATTCCTTGTGCTTCAAAAAAAAAAAAAAAAATTTAATAGTTCATAGGCCAGATGTAGGAGAACAATTCTGGGCACTTACAAATGTGAGGTAGTAGTTTTTTTTTTTTTTTTTAATTGGCTAGGTAAACTGTATGAGGTTCGTGGGGAACATAGAGAAATTTCTTTCTCAGTTGATGAATTAGCACGGACCAGACCTAAAAGTCACAAAAAAAAAAAAAAAAAAAATTAAAAAATTAAAAAATTAAAAAAAAAAATAAAATTCATTTTCAGATGTGCCCCATATGACTTGTTGTCTTCATATGAACCCCAAATGATCATCATGCTATGTTTGGGAGCACCAAATCAGCGGCTTAGATTTGGAATTGGAAGAAATTTAGTTAAAACTTTGAATTGAATTTCCTCCAATCCCAAATCCAAAGCACCAATTCGGGACGCAACATCAGTTTTTTCATTAACTTTAGAGGCCTTTGCTCCATAAAAAATAGGGTGTTCAATTTCTTGTTAAGGTCTTCTGTGCTAAAAGTTGAACATTTTACTTTTCTGTTGGATCAACCTAATGTTTTACTATTTTCTAGTGCATTCTGTTCTGGATGTTCTTATAGAGACAATTGTTATTGACAGTTACAATTGCATCAATATGTCTAATCTTCAAAACGACCCACTTTTGCAATTGGAAACAACATGTGATGTGCCCCATATGACTTGTTGTCTTCATATGAACCCCAAATGATCATCATGCTATGTTTGGGAGCACCAAATCAGCGGCTTAGATTTGGAATTGGAAGAAATTTAGTTAAAACTTTGAATTGAATTTCCTCCAATCCCAAATCCAAAGCACCAATTCGGGACGCAACATCAGTTTTTTCATTAACTTTAGAGGCCTTTGCTCCATAAAAAATAGGGTGTTCAATTTCTTGTTAAGGTCTTCTGTGCTAAAAGTTGAACATTTTACTTTTCTGTTGGATCAACCTAATGTTTTACTATTTTCTAGTGCATTCTGTTCTGGATGTTCTTATAGAGACAATTGTTATTGACAGTTACAATTGCATCAATATGTCTAATCTTCAAAACGACCCACTTTTGCAATTGGAAACAACATGTGGATCTCTTCTATATGAACTCCAGGTTTGTTTATGAACTTTTGATTTATGGCTCCTCGACAGTTTATTTCTTGTTTCTTTTTGCCCATTGAAGCACATCATTGAACTTGTTTCTTTTATATACTTACATTGAGAGAGCAATAATAATACTTTCCCGATTTATTGGTAAAATCAGATAATATGGGATGAAGTTGGGGAAAACGACACCGAAAGAGACAGAATGCTTCTCGAGCTTGAACAAGAGTGTCTGGAAGTATACAGAAGAAAGGTAGACCAGGCGAACCGATGTAGAGCTCAGCTACGACAGGCAATTGCTGATTCTGAAGCAGAACTTGCAGCCATCTGTTCCGCAATGGGGGAGCGACCAGTACATATTAGGCAGGTCGGTATTAAAGTAATATAAAATATGACTCAGAAGATTTCAAAGACTGCCACATTTCTTAGGAAACAGTTTGAACTCAATGTGGTTTCAGTTTCTTAAAATCGTTAAAAATTATGATCTGGTATTTAATGTTATATCACAATAGAGTTACTAAAGTATATGAAACTCTAATAGAATGTGATGCATGTTACTGCCACGGTCAAGTGGTGCCATGACTGTTAAAATATACTTAATAATAGCTTATACTAGATAAAAATGGCGAAAGAAATTAAACTTATGGTGCCAATAATGTGTTAAAAGAACGTACAAGAATTAATGAGGTCTAAACCTATGGTCTTGACCTAAAACTCAGACATAGAAAAAGTCTGTTGAAGTAAAACAAATAGATAAACAAATGAATTATTATTATTATTATTTCTTCTGAACCATGTCCAAAATGTTCATCATCTTCAGTCTGATCAAAGTCCTGGAAGCTTGAAGGAAGAGCTTAAAACCATTATTCCACAACTAGAGGAGATGCGGAAGAGGAAATGTGAAAGAAAGAATCAATTTGTCGAAGTTCTAGAGCAGACACAGAAGTTATCAAATGAGATTTATAGTTCCTCCGAATATACTCTTTCCAACACTATTGTGGATGAAACTGATTTGTCTTTAAGAAAGCTAGAAGAATTGCACAGAGAGCTGCATGCACTTCAGAAGGAAAAGGTAATAATATTCTTTATATTATTTTTGTTTTTGTATCATCATCAGTTCTGAAAAAATTCCCTGCCTTACTTCTCCTAATGTTTCTTTACATGCAGAGTGATCGCATGGAGCAGGTTCTGGACCACCTGAATACTTTGAATTCACTGTGCTTAGTGCTTGGTATGGATTTCAATCAGATGGTTACTGAGGTTCATCCCAGTTTAGTTGATTCTGAAGGATCAAAGAACATAAGTAATGCTACGATTGAGCAGTTGGCAACAGTAATAGAAAGGTTGCGGGAGGTTAAAAAACAGAGGATGCAGCAGGTAAATAGTGTTCTAAATTAGTTTCCATACTTTTAGCAGATTCTTTCTTTTTCTTTCTAATTTGTAGACCTTATTAACTTTTCAAACTGTGGCAGCTTCAAGATCTTGCAACTTCCATGTTGGAGCTATGGACATTGATGGATACACCTATTGAAGAGCAACAGATGTTTCAGCATGTTACCTGTAACATAGCTGCTTCAGAACATGAGATAACAGAGCCCAACATGCTTTCCGTGGACTTCATTAGTTATGTGAGTCAAGGAATCTCTGAAAATAGGTCATTTTGATATTTTGTTTTCTTTACTTCTCAAAGTATTTACATCTGCTAGGCGGCAGAAAGGTCTGTTTAGGGAAATGAAAGAAAAGTAAATTTATTTTGCAGGTTGAGGCAGAGGTGTCTCGGCTGGAAGAGCTGAAGGCTAGCAAAATGAAAGAGCTTGTTTTGAAGAAAAGGTCAGAGCTGGAGGAGATTTGTAGGAAGACACATATGATTCCTGAATCAGATAGTGCCATGGATATGGCTATTGAAGCTATTGAGTCTGGTATTGAACTAGTATATAAGAGAAGACTAATACTATTAAGTCATTAACATTTCTATGATGTCATTAACTTTGTGTCACTTTCTTAAATACAGGAGCTGTGGATCCTGGTTGTGTCCTTGAAGAAATGGAGCTCCAAATTTCTAAAGTAAAAGAGGAAGCGTTTAGCAGGAAAGAAATACTGGAAAAGGTTGAGAAATGGTTGGCTGTATGTGATGAGGAGTGTTGGCTTGAGGAGTATAACAGGGTTGGTGCTTCATCTTTGTGCTAATTTTTTGTTAATTAAATAAGCATATCCTTGCTTAATTGTCAATCCTGATGCTTGTTCAGGATGAAAACCGATATAATGCTGGAAGAGGTGCTCATCTTACTTTGAAGCGCGCTGAGAAAGCTCGTGCTTTGGTTAATAAACTTCCAGGTACACAACACATAATGTAGGTCAGCAGCCATCATTTGGTAGAACCGTCAATTAGAGATGTAGACATCACAGATGAAAGTTGGGTTCCTTTTGGTCTAATTAGAGATGTACATGCATTTTTTGATAAACTTTTATATATGTTGCTTTCTGTAAAATTTACATATTAATTTTAACCTACATTGGTTTGCATTGTTATCTAACAGGAATGGTGGAGGCGTTGGCTTCAAAAACCACAGCATGGGAGAATGAGAGAGGCACTGAGTTCACTTATGATGGCGTAAGTCTTTCTTTATTAATTACTGAATATTTGATTTTATAACAAGTAAGTTCCAACTGATGTTTACTCTGTGCTCTAAATGGCTGTTTCAAACAAATTTATTTGTATTTTTTTCTGTTATCTGTTATTGTCCAGATTCGACTTCTTTCTATGCTTGAAGAATATACTATTTTACGGCAAGAAAAAGAGGAAGAACGCAAAAGGCAGAGGGTATGGAGCTCTTATTTTACTCAATATGGTTACTCATAAATTCTGTCTAATTATGGCATGTGCACAAATTATTCATCTATTTCAGGATCAGAAGAAACTTCAGGAGCAGTTAATAGCAGAACAGGAGGCACTTTTTGGATCAAAACCAAGTCCTATGAAACCCCAGAGTGGAAAAAAAGGTCCTAGATTGTCAACTGGTGGAGCAAGCAATAGAAGACTTTCCCTTGGAGGAGTAATGCTACAAACTCCTAAAGCTGATCCTCTGCACCCCACAAAAGCTACTCCCAATACACGTCAAACAAAGAAGAAACAAAATGACCGATTGAATCACCACCAAGATGATGGTTTTGCAGCTCTATCAGCTGGTAATTTTCCTGGAACTAAAATGTCCGGTTTATTTTTAGGTAAAGGGTTTTGTCTGGATTCACCCTTTTTTTTTTTTTTTAATTTATCTTAACGAGGGGAAAAAAAAAAAAAAAACTTAAAGAACTTGGCAACTGTCTTCTCTCTTATTTGGTTAGATATGATAAATTTAGGTATTAAATTTAGCTTGTTAATCGAGTAACTTGAATTTTTTTTTTTTTTTAATTTTTTTAACAATGTTATTAAATAAGTGGCTGCTTTCGGACTTCAACCTTCATTCTTAAATTTGGCAGTTCAAACTTGAACTGTGCATGAAGAAAACCTGTAAACGAATAGTTGACCCAAACAGAGTAATGAAAACCTGACAAACAACCTTAATCTATAGATTCAGTACTATTCAATGTGCTATCTAAACATGTACTTATTTTTTTCCATTTTTTTTTTTTTTTTTGTATTGTTGAGTTTTTCGTTTTTATTTAATGGTTTGTATAGGAAGAAGAGTTGGCCATTGTCAATGCACTCTAAATTATGTTTCCTGTTTTATGAGAACATACATGACAGCCTCAGTTCAAGTATTATGGATAATGTTATATTTTTTAACCTGCTCAATTTAGGTAGGAGAGGCTTGGACATTGCTGGTCTCCCTGTAAGAAAACACTCTTTTAGTGCAGCAAATGCTCGTGGAGTAGAGTCAACACGAAAGCCCTTCTCACCAATCTCGTCCACAGAATCGTCGAAGTCCAATGCAACAAATTTATTGGAAGATCTGAACAGAAAACATAGTGATACGTTACAGAAAGCACTTCCACCAATTAACAATGCATCATTCACTACACCTTTGAAAACAATTTCTCCAGAAGAGGAGGAAAACAGGACTCCTAAAGCAATGCCATTTGCTATTCCCACTACACCTTCAACAGTATCAGTTCCAATGCAGACGACCACGACCCCAGCTCCTTCTCCTCTGGTCCCTTACAGTGCTAATCAAGTCGAAGAAATTGAATACTCCTTCGAGGAAAGAAGAGCTGGATTTGTTCTTCCTAGAACACACCTAAAGACACTGGTACAAGTTTAACTTCTTACCAACTTTGGAGCGATTGCGAAAATCATATTTTGTTGTTACTGAATGCTTTTATTGTATTTGTTTAAACCTCGGGATTTGAGATGGTGATAAGTCAATTATAATTGGCTTCTCTAAGGTGTATATAGTCTACGAGCACTGAATGTAGACTAGGTTGTTGGAATTGTTCTTTCTTTGTTGAATGTGAGCTTCTCTTTATAGTTCCGATTGACTCTTACTGTTGGCATGAGAACATGTTCAAGATGGTTTGATGTGATTGTATGTAGTACAGCGGACAGTAAAGTTTTGATTTATCACCAGCTCGTCGTATCATGAGAACACATTCTTGAAGATCTTGTACCAGCTAAAGTAGTTGAATGGTTAAATTAGTCCTTGATTTCTAAAAGTATTCCCAAAACATCAATTTGATCTGAAATCCTGTATCATATATGCACACACACACACACACATTACATATATGCACGCACACACTATATAGTACCCAGGAAAATGAAACTTGATTAAAGATGAGCCTTAGTTAAGGATACCTAAATAAATAATCAACCAAATGAAAAGAAGGAATCTGTCATTACCCACCTAGTATGCCTTTAACTTTTGTTTTCTCACTTTCTTACCTTATCCATGTGACAGAGTACCAAAAAAGAACTTAAATAAATCAAAGCATTCTATTATCAAATATGTACTGCTCACATATTCTTCATTTGAACTATTCGAAGTACAAAAGTTCTATGTTTAAACAAGTTCACCCTCCAGAAAGATAACATGGAATGAAATTATACGTCGTTTTAATCATTTCAAACTCCAATTCTAAGGTCGTTGACTGAATCAAAATTTCATTCCAGTACAGTCCCTTCATAGTTACAAAAACACATTACATTGTTTTGGCTAGATGTTACATCAAACTATGTTCAGACTAGTGGAGATGTCCTCAACTTCTCTGCCTTCCAGCCTCTGTTAATCTTATCGATGAATTCTTCCACTCTCCTTCTCAGCTCATCATCTTCTTCGTTGTCATTCACTTCGTCATCATGTATCATGATTGCTCTGTTGACATTTGATGGAGTGCTAGCTCCAATTGTCGCGTTGTTCTTGCCAAATGAACTTCTAGAATTTGATCCATTTATGTTATTCTTGGATCTCTCATTCGATCCATTTATGTCATTCCTCTTCCTGCTGTCAACAGTTGGATGGGAAGTCACATGATCATGATGAGAGGTGGGTTTTGAGCCACCTAAGAGTAGAATGCCGATAATAAAATTGCAGAAACAAAAGACGAGAAGAGAATTGGAAGTGGCCAGAGTGATCAACTCAATTGTGGAAGTAAACATGGTTTTGGGAAGGAAAAGAAGGGGAGGAAAATTCCAATGACTAACAACAGGAGGCTGGAGATAGCTAGGAAAAGAAGAGAATATTTCCAATGAAGAAGATAGGAGGTTGAGAGAGTCAGCTGAGAGGTATTATTGGTGTGTGAGCAGAATGAGGATGTGTTAAGCCTTTTTAAAGGCTTGTTTGGATGAGAAAAAAGTGTAGTTAGGAAGCCTTTGTAGCTCATTGAAGGATTAAATTAATGAAGTGTGGTGTGAAAGCTGAAATGGGTTGACTTATTATATGTTTTTGTTTAATCATTAATGTATCAATGAATTTGTGAAGCTTCCATCACAACTGAAATGTGGAGCTTCTCTTTATTGTTTAATCAAAGTCTTTGTAACCACCAAAGAACCTCACATGGCTACTCAGTTTCTTATGCCATCTAATTTCAACAACAATGACATCACATAACTCATATTTAGGAGTGTTTTTCTGTTTTTTTTTTTCTCACCGTTTTCTTATTATTTTTGTTCTTTAACTTCACTTTTACCATTTACAAATTAGGAAGTGGCTTAAATAGTGCAAGGAGGACAAAGGTTTCGCTTTGATAAAATTCTGTTTGCTGTTTCTACATATTCGAAGTATACACAATAACATGATCAAGTACTTACAGTAAAGAGACTATAAATAATATACTTCAATAAAGATAAATAAATATGGTAAAGTTTTATTATTATTATTATTAATTACTATTATACGACACTAAATGGCCTCAATTTTAATGGTATAACCTCTCATCCTCAAAGAGGGGAGGGAATTGAGTATAGGTCTGGTCAAATTTTTTATAGGAATTGGTAAAATTGATTGATTTCTTCCCCAAAACCAATTATATTTTTCACACTAACCTACAAATGTGCGGCGAACAACCACACCTCATGATCATGGGGATTACTTTCACCCAAAAGGGAGAACACCGTGAAAATAAATAAAATAAAATAAATTAAATTAAATACACAAAAATAGTGATTTAAGTATGAAGGATACTTTTGGAAAAATGATATAAATATCCCTAGCATAAAAGGGTCGGTAGCATATGAACCAGTGGGTCAAATTCACATGATCACACATCCAGAGTGGAGAAACTTAAATCAAATTAATGAAAAGTTGGATTGGAGAGAAAATAAAAAGTGAAGGATACCTAGTACAGGACACCAATATCCACATAGACATAGACAGAGAGGGAGAGTACAAACATGGCCTTTCCGTTTTTCTATTCATTCTGCTAAAGCCGTGGTTAAATAAATAACAAACTGGCAAGATTTTGATATATTATATCCTCATGAACAATTCCTTTCAGTGAACATCTGGCTGTTAACACATGTCCTCATAGGCAGTAGTGTGCTTACCTTTTTTCACTTTACTTTGATCAAAAGAGACTCATTGAGCATTCAGGCTACCCAGCTCACGAGTGCCCCCCCAGCGCACCGAATATATCTATTCCCAGCTCACCCCAGATAATGCACATTGAGGAACACCCATCTTATGTACAAAAAGAGCTGCCTCTAGCAGCACTTCTTACCAATCTGTAAGTGCTAACAAAGCTGCCTCTAGACGTACAAGGAGACTAACTCGGGCAACAACACAGAAATCTTTGGCACATCCTTTCAGATCCACGAAAGAGCTCTCTTTTGATGGAAAATTAGAGTATAGCTGAGATTATATCTACTCAAAGAAATCTGGGCTCATATTGATTCTCTAAGCAACAGAGAGACCTTATAATAAGCGTGGAGGGCCTGCTCTCAACAATACACAGGAAACACAAACCCCGATGGGGAAACGAAAAGTGAGCTGAAATATTTCAGTAACTTTCACCTTATGACATTGCTCAACATCTAGATGGGAAAACATGTCAAGGCTAAGGGGCTATGAAGAACACATATCACTCTTGTTAAGGGATCAGCTTTTGGTTCAATGTGTGGAGATGGGATCCAGAAGATGGATGACCAGATGGAAAATAACTTTTAAGGCAATCCACAGAACATCCTTACCCGCTCGGGCCAATGATACATCAACCCCATCTAACAGGGAATAACAGTGGTAGTAATGATAACAATGGGAAAAAATTGTAACAATACCAACCGCAACATCGAACAAATGAACAAAAACTGACATTTAAAGTGACAAAGTACTAATATTAATAGCTTCATGAATTTTGTATATCAGAAATAGCAATTTTGTACTCATGAATTTGAATAAGAATAACAACAGCAATTCGAATTTCAATAAATATAACTACTGTAATTTGAATTTTAATAAGAATAACTACACCAATCTAATAATAATAATAATAGAAGTAAACAATCCAACATGTTCACAGAGAGTACAAGATGCTTGACATGCATATCTGATCTCCCTAAACAAATTCTAGGCCAAGTTGAATTAGCTAGGAATAAATATTACTCTATCAACTCATAGACAAGTAGACAAAATATGAGACAGTTCAAGTATCATTCATACCTCCCCTATGCAGAAGAAATAATCAAGTCATAAATACAAGACTAATTCAATATCAGCAAAACTCTGCTTCAAATTATATGTAATCAAAAACGGAAATATATAAACTTCAAAGCGAGCACAATTAAATAGAAAATCCAACTTTCAGTCTCACATAGCTTAAAATCACCAAAAAAGCTCAATAGGTTACAACAACCTATTAATAAAAGGCTGTAGATCTTCCACAGTAAACTCCGTAAGCTGCCCTCTTTACTTTACTCATCCTTCTAACAGTCAAAGAGAACAAACCATAAGAAAATGGATCACCTCTTCCTTTTCTTATTTCCTGAGGAATCATTTTTGTTGAAGCTTCTCAAATCATTTGTGGTCTCAGCTGTATTCTGCTTCTTCATACCTTTCCTTCCTCCAAAACCAAACTTAGAATCTTTGAAGTCCCTACCCTTTTTCATCTTATTTGCTCCTTTCTTCCCCTTGCCACCACCTTGTCTTGCCTTCCCTCCAGAGCGATCTCCAGGAGCCACCCATGGCCTCTTCTTATTTGACCTCTCAAATGTTTTTCCATCTTCGAAATTAAAACCCATCTCACCATCTTCGTCACCCCCGGCAAATCCACTCTGCTGCCTCTGCTTCCTCCACTTCTTAACAGATTCTATCTCATCTTTTTTCTGCTTAGACCTCTCCTTAATCTTCTGAGCCTGAACCTCTTTAGCTATTTTCTTTGCCTCCCTCGCTTTTCTTCTCTCCTCAGCCTCCTCAATCTTCTTCTTCTCTGACAAGAGCCGGCCCTTAACCTTCTCCATGTGATTATCAGTTTTCACCATCTCAGCATAATAGTCGGAAGGCCTGAGAAAAGGAAGCCTCGCAGAATCAAACTTCACAAAAGCCTGCCGTGTACCCTCCAATGCCTGTGTATAGAAAGCAAGCTCCCGTGTCAGGTCATCATTCACGTCCACCTCTTGCTCTCTATCAATATCAATGGAGAGCTTGTGGATCCATTCCACATTCTCAGGCCACCTAATATCGTCAAGTTTATCAAGCAGACCGTCTCTGTTGTATATAGAGGTCTTTGAAGGTTCAGTCAACTTCACATCTTCATCTTCTTCTGATTCTGACTCAGATTCCGAAGCCTCCACATTAACATCTCCCATTCCAACATCGTTCAGTATATCATCATCAGACAGTACCGGATCTTCAACGAGAACCCCCATCAAATAAACCTATTAAAATCAAAATACAATTTACTGTTACAATTAGAACACGAAAACATATCATTTGTTCTTCAAGGAAAACATAACACACGTTTCAATCACAGTTTCTTTGTGAGTCTGTTCATATCTAATTCGAGAATGCAAAAGTCGCCCCTTTTGTTATGGAACAGACCCTAAACCTAGATAAAATTTTAGGACCAACCAAATTATAGGCATCAATGAGGGGTTAAAAGTTAAAACTATCCTACAAATTGAGAAAGAAAAAACACTAGATTTCAATTTAAAGTAAGATAGAATAAGCATGAAATAAACATATTGAACACAACAACAACAACCAAGCCTTCTTCAACTACTTGGGGCTGGCTACATGAATCTCATGTTTCTATTCCGCTCTATTAGCCTCAAAATAAACATATTAAATATGACTACAAAAACATATAGAAATTCACACAAAGAGAGCAAATAGGTGCCTGAAGCCAGCAGATCAATTAAAACCTCTAGCATAAGAAGAAACTTGAAAATATCCCACCAATCAGATCCTCCCCTCAGCAAATAATCGTTCAAGATAAGAAAAAGATTGTTTGATCGAAACCCAGGAAAATCCAAGAAATATTGATGAATTTGAGTGACATGTGTGAGAATATGTATCTAAATTTGACTAACACAGTCCAGCAGCGAACAAAAGAACTTAAGAAATTATTAAAAATTAACACTTGCCCAGAAACTAAATCTGACTTGTATACAATCATATAGAAGAAAAAAATGCTCATAGACTCCTTACAACAAAAACCCAGAAAGAAGAAACAAAAATCACAGAAAGCTTCTATCGATTTTAAACAAAGAATAAGTAAAAAAAAAAAAAAATCAAAAAGAAGAAGAAGAAGAGTACAGAGGAAAGAGCAAGATATACCTCGAGAACAGCTCAATGGAAGTATTTAGAGTCGTCGGCAACTCGCTGAGGTTGTCGGAAGTTAACCAGGTCGCGCTACTGTTCGCTGCTCGCTTCGCCAGGTCGCCTCGCGAGTTGAAACCTCAGACCTAGGTTTTCATTTTGATGATGCTTATTTTAACATTTGTTTGAGATTGGGCCTTAAAGTGGGCTTTAAATCTTTATGTTGGAGAAAGGCTTGACTGTTTCTCTAGAAAACGGGCTAGGGGCCCAAAAAGTGAAGGAAATAACCAATTAATTTAGTTTGAAAAATAAAATAAATATATAACATTGATCCCTTTTATATCTTCTTCTTTTTCTTTTTTTTTTCTTTTTTTTTTTTTTTTTTTTTTCCTGTTTTAAAATGCACGGATGGCACTTTTGGTCACGCACTATTCCATTTCTCTGCATTCTTGTGGTGTTCCTTTTTTTCTTTTTCCTTTTTATATCTTTTAGGAATCCCTAGCATCTTAAGGATGATGCAAATTGAAATAATTTATGTTTTATTTTATTATTATTATTTTTTATTTTTTTTAAGTGAGTTCCATAACAAGGATCCCAAAAGAAAAAACAAAATAATAATAATAATAAATTCCACTTAGAAGGGGTTGGATTTTTTTAAGTTGAGACAAGACTTCTCAGCTTGATGGTTAAACAATTCTATCAAAATGTTTAAATTGAAAATTTAAATGAACTTGCCCAAATTTTTAATACTAAATACTCATCTTATTACCAATGTAACTTAATATTATCGCTTCTACCTCCAAAAGCAATGGTCTTGTAGTCGAATAGTATAATGGTCTTGTAGTCGAATAGTATCTCTTCTATTCCTAAAAGTCAAGTGAGAGTTTAGTCCCTAATGCTCCGTTAGGTAGGAAGAAAAATTTTGAATGGAAGGGAGGGAATAAAGGATGACTGAGACATCCCAGCGAAGAGATTAACTGTTTCTCTCTTTTTGTTCGATTGGATGGAAGAAAATAGAAAAAATTATAATTTTGTTTGATCTATAAGATAAAAGGAAATTTTTAAATTGTTTTTACCATTAAACTCATCCCTTACTTTATTTATAAGATTTATTAAATGTTTATAAAGGATGATGTAGTAATTTAAAACTTATATAATAGACTCACTTGTTTTTAACCCTGCAGATGAAAATTTGTGAAAATCCTTTCTATTATTCTTTTTTTCCTTATATCATCTCTACCGAACTAAAAAAATTGTTCTTTCCTTTTTATTTTCCTTTTACCCCTCTTCTTTCCTTCCTACCTATAGCATAAAGAAAAAAAAAATAAGCTTGTGAATGGTGTGCTTGTTACTTGCCAAAACATATACTATTTTGACGATCATGATTTTAAGAATTTGTTCCCTCATGATCCTTATACTAGAGCTTTTGACAAGATATATAAACTCGACTATTTTTTCGTTCATTTCATTTGAAATAATGTATATAATAATTCCCCTCAACTAGTTTACAAGATGGTAAACCAGGTAACCAAAATGCCATTTATTAAGGTTATGTTTATTTATTGAAGTTATGTTTGTTTTGACGTTTCAAGTAAAATATTTTTTTATCTTTGCTTTTTTGATGTTCGGTAAAAGTGTAGGTTGAGGGTGGGATCGTATCAGATGGACACGAGACGTATAAAATAATAATGAGTACGTTACTTTTATTAAGTTTCAAATTTTTTTTATTTTTATTTTTTCGTAAAATATTTATGACAACGACAATCAAACACCAGAAAATAAAAAAAAAATATTTTTTTAAAATTAATTTACATCTAAACAAACGAAGCCTAAACTTCTAACCATTTTCAAGGTCATTTCATTTGGTTTGGCCGCACCAAAAAAAACCGGTCTCATGAATGCAAAGCAAATTATGTGCAGTTCAACTCAAGTGACCTTAGGAGTGACAGTTTGGTCTCAAAGATGCACCTTATATTTTAGTTTGAATCATTTTTTCCTATAATATTACAAGATAACACAATCGAGATTAAACGTAGTTAACCAAGATCAAATAATTAAATTATTAATCTCTTGCTAGTTGCTACTAAGCTGCTCAGCCAAATAAAAGCAAATACGAAAAAGAACAAAAAAATAGTACACTACCATGAAATTGTATTGTATTAAGCAGAGTGCATGATTTTTAAGTGAAAGGTGAAACATCATTTGATATGCAAGACCTTAGTGTTCTGAGAGCACAAGTTATTACCCACATTCAATCAGCACAATCTTCTTAAAATCAGTTATTGGAGTATTCAGCAATACATACTCTTAATTCCATTTGGCAGCATTGAAATGCACCAGTTTTTACAGTAAAACCTTTGCTCGCATGAATACTCTGTTACAAACAACTCCGAATTCAGGCTTATGATAACCAACAAAACCATTTTACATGACGAGAATCAAAATGAAAAGATTCAAGACCATATTCAACTACTGGTTTATAAAGCATTAAGGTATCCCAAATGGGAAGAAGGAAATCTCTAATACATTAGAGGAGGTGACCAATAGACATCTACCAAATCAACTTCAAACACCAGACATGATTTTGATAGCATCGTGCCACCACTCACCAGCACCTCAAGCCTGTATATATATAATAAAACAAGATATTCTTACAAAGGCAATAACATATACATGACCAGATGCATGCAATTAGACAAACACGAGGGGGGAGGGAGGGAGAGATCCATGCTTAATCAATAAACATTTCTGGATAGATAAGCACAAAGTGGTTCCTTCTAAATCAAGTCATGTTTGACGCTATAAACGGAATTTTTAATTGATGTGTATTGTATTTTCTCAAATACTATACGTTACTTTTACCCGAGTAAAAGCTGCTGAATTGGCCTATTTCTTGTTGGCCCTTGCAGAGGTCTCACACTTAACTCCTAGCTCTCCATTAAGAAAGGACCTCACCCGATTTGGCTTGGCTTCTTTTTCTCCTGTGTCTTGGATTGATTCTAGGTTGTATCAGTGCGATCCATATTTGCATTCAGGCTTGATCTTTTTTTTCTTCTTGGTCTTTTTTTCTTTCTTTGTGGTCTTTTTTTTCTTCCCGCGGGAGTGGTTTTCATCAGCAGTGTCACAACTTCTGAACAAATATCGAACAAAAATACACATGTAATTAACATAAACATAATTATAGCATCATGATCAACCCTGATACATAAAGCTTTCATCTAACAAACATAAACACAGTTCAGAACATAAACACATGAAGGCTGAAATTCTTATCTTAGTGTCTGCTCTAAAAAAAAAAGCGCACAGAGAGAGGAAGGATGCAGTTCATTAAGAAATAAGAAAGCAACGATTTTGGTGGAATTTTATGTAGATAACTTCATATGGCTGCAATAAGGCCTTGTTAATTTATTTGTTTGTTTCTTTTCATTAGTGTACTATAGTACTAGTTGAACTGACAATTTGGCAATCACAATAAGGCATTGTTATTTATTTACTTTTGACTACTATAAGGCATCGCTAGTATCAATAGTACTAGTTGAACTGAGAATTTGGCTCTTGATTACTTGATTAATCGTAATACAGATACTGGTATATTACATACACAATGTTCGACAAATATCATTTTGGTATTTTACTACCTTCAGGATTCTAAAGGAGAGAATGACAGAACTCACTTTTCAATTGTTTGATGCTCATCGTGTTCTCCGACAGGTGGAGCCTGGTCCATGTCCCTGGTAGTTGCCTCTACAGTCTGGCTATCTCTCGATTTCTCCTCATTGCCCCTTGTTTTCTTCTTTTTCTTCTTCTTCTTTTGCTTAACATCGTTTTCAGGAACTACTTCAGTTGTTGCAAGGGGAGAATCAAACTGTTGGCTAGTTAACCTGCTTTCAAGAGATGCACTAAGAGAACAGAAACAAAATAACAAATGAAAAAATCTTTAAGCGACCTGTTCTCAAGACTAACCTAACTGGAGATCAAGGTCCACAGATAATAGTACAAACCAGAAACAACTCAAAATGAACCCGTTACTAGTTTTTCATCAAATACTGTACCTGGGCAGATTTATTACCTTGCATGTTCACCATCTTGAATGATAGCATCAACTTTTCTTTTCAAACTTTTAACACGATCAGAATCATCTTTCGCCTTTTTTCTCTTGCCTTTCTCCTTTGTTCCCTTGGTATTCATAACTTTTGCTTTGTCCTTACGAGGGGAAGATGTTGCAAAACCATCTTCATCTTCACTTTCCAAGATTGGGAAACTAGTACCTCTCCCGATAACAATTTGTTGCTGTGAGATACCTTTGTCACCAAATGCACTTAGCTGACCTTTTCTCTTTGGTCGTTTAGATGTATGATTCTCAGTAGCAGGTTTCTCATCATCCAATATCTCCTCAATTACCACTAATATGAATCCAGGAAATTTCCCAAGGAAAAATGATCAGAAGTTAGATGCTAATATAAATCACAAAGCACAACATAACAAGGAACTAGTCAGACTTTAATAACGTATAACCCTCTGTACTAAAGAGAACAACAAAGATATAATTTATAAAAATAAAAAAAATAAAAACTGCTTACAGATGACTGGTAATTTTATATGAATCACCACATCTTCAGCTGGAAGCAATTTCAGTTTTTTTTTTTCCCTTGACCATATATACGAAACTAAGTGAAATCCGAAAATCAAACTTAATTTTTTGAATACAAACACAAGAAAAAGAGATGATTCAGATATAGAGATCATACCTCAATATTATAAAGAGAGAGAGGGGGGGGGGGGGGGGGCGGCGGGGCGGGGTTGTGGGTGGGTTGGTTGGTGTTTAAATCTTAAGAAGTAGCCACAGAAGCGTCAATGAAAGTAAAAATCTAGAAAAGCTCAAGAGACGGGGAAAGAGCTTCACATTGCACACCCACCAATTCTTCATGTCCAAAGAAACCCTAGTCCAATCAATAAAAATGCAAAGGACAGGGAGAGAAAAGGAGAGAGAACTTCATAATTCAACCTCAGATTAGAAATCTCAACAATAAGTATTATATAACTTTATTTGGAAACATCACATTACAAAGACAGTACAATGTATATGAAGCCTTGTTATAGAGTTGTATGTATGTAATAATGTATAAACGTACATTTGTAGGATTGGATCGAGGTCAATCCAAGTTCAGTCCAGTGGACATCAGGTTCATTAGGAATTGGATCAACTTCCCCTCACTATATCCAACTTAATAGATAATATTCAAAACAGTATCCAACCAAATGACAAGCCTAATGATGACACTCATGATGAGTAGTAATGAAAAGCCAAAATCTACAGAGTCATCCTTAATTTTTCCAATAACAATCAAATATTAATGACGTTAGTTGAGGTATTCATGCTAAAAAAATCAACTAACTTGTTTCGTCCTTGTACCTAATCGAAACTTTATTCCACCAGTTTTTAATGTATAAAGCATATTTCCTAAAATGTAGCTAATATTGAAAAAATCACATACCAAAATTATATGTAAGTGACAAATTATGGATTTTTTTATGAGAAGGCTGGAAACTAGTATAAGCTGAAAGGAAAATAGACCTAGGAATCACTTGCCAGAATCATGTGAAGATACATAAAAATTAAAAGAGATATACCTCCACAATTATGTACAGGTGAAGGTGGGAACATGTCAACATCATCATTAAAAAAGTGATATCCGTAATCATCTTCAGTAGAATCAGTACTATAATCAGTAGAATCAGTACTAGAATCAGTAGATTCATCAGTCTCTGTATCAGCAATATCTTCAGCATACAAATCACTTCATGTCATAGTGAAGGAAAGTAGAGAAAAATCACAAAACAGACCCCATTAACACAATTACAAGGAAAGCTTAATACTATTATTTGCCCATTAAGAGTAAACTGACTGGGAAAAAAAATATAGTGATAATGTGATAGTCAATTGAATCTTTCCAGAGAGAAAAAAGAAATGTCAATTGAATCAGAAATCAGAAGGATACTCGTAATCATCAGTAACGCTGTCTTGACTTCCGAGAAGAAAGAAACCAGAGAGATGAACACTGTCAGGTCCAATAACTGAAAATATCACTTCATCGGACTCCTCAAATTCAAGATTTAATGCGCAAGTCTCAAGTCTTTCTGGTAACAAAGAACATAAGTAAATTGGCTTCTCATCTCCGACATTACACTGAACTATGCTCTTCCTTGCCGATGAGCCACTTCCTAATGTTGCCTAAATCGTCACATGATACAAATTGTCGAGCAATGCTAATTTAGATTCAATTGCTAATTCAAAAAACTGAAAAGGATGTAGCAAAGTTGGGTATATTCTAAAACTTAAAATTATAAAATCATACTGCAAGTTATACACCCTCAAATGATCCTATCCCCCTACTAAAAAAAAAAAACTTGAACATGTGACCAACATAAAAATTTGAATTCTCAACGAACAATCTAGTTGACAATAAAGAAAATTTAGGAACATTTTAAATGTATATATAAACCAAAATTCTGGAAAATAAATGACCATATCACGCAATTAAAATTTTGAATAAACTATAATAATTATTTCCAAAATCAAATTTCAAATAGTGTTAAGCAGCAAGTATCATCACAAAACATAAATTATCAAGCTATACAAACAAAACCAAATTATAAGACCACAGTAGTCTTTTATATCCAATATAAAAAAAGAAAATTCTAAAATACTTTAACTAGCCTTTAATGAAGTCTAAAAATATATGAGTGGCCGTCTCGTCGAAGCAATTCCTAGAATATCAAAATATATGAATCAAAGCCAAAAATAGGTCTATAGGTGTGTGTACACACGCATTCCTAATCTCTTGTTATCTGTAACTATTCAAATATTGAATTTAGATAACAAAAAACTGAAGCACCGTATATTTAATTAATTGAAGCTTTGTGAAGAAACCTGAGATACGTGAAGCCTTCCTCGGTTTTCATCGAACCGATGAGTGTACGGACTGCCCGATTTAATTTCAATTCCTGAAACGAACCACGAAAGTAAATGCGGTATCGATGAAAATAATGTAAAATCCTATGTTTGGTTGCTGAGAAATCATGTGAAACGAAAGGAAAATTAAAGAAATGATCTGGAACTAACCCCAGAACGCCATTCCTCGGGTGGAACTGGAGCTTCTCTAAAACCCTCAGTGTTTTAAACCCTAACGCCGAACATCAGGGACGCCACGTGGCTGTACTTAAGCACTGAAACGTGGTCAGAAAAGCGAGGTCTACGTATAACACCTGGCCGGAGAGGAAATATTTCGGGTAATTTATGATACTAGATGTGTAATGGGCCGGCCTAAGCCGAAGCATGTGGTCCGTTTGATGTCTGTCATCTGACCCAAAAAAAACTTAAAACTACTATTATATTTACGCTTTGTGACCAAAAGAGTCCGACAACGACTCAGACACCCCTGAATGGCCCAAAAGATTAAGCATCGAAGCCCAATATCTTTCCCACGACCAAGACTCTTATCAATAACGATTTGAACACCTTCTTAGTATGGCGTGAGTCAAATTGAAAATTATATATTAAAAATTTTAAAAGTTAAATTTTAAGTACTGAAGTTTTCAAGTATTAATTAAAAAATAAATATTATTTTTTATATCTTTTTGAATTTTTAATGCCTATCACTTAAAATTTTACCATATTTTAAGTGTTGCTTATCATTTCTACTGATTTTATCATATTTTAAGTGTTGTTTATCATTTTTAATACTATCACTTAAAATTTTATCATATTTATTGCTCCTTCTTGGCAATGTTTTTGTAACTACAATTCTTCTGTAATGAGTAGAGTTTGGTTATTATGCAATCATGCTCCACCTTCTCTTCAACTCTCAAGTTTAATTGATCACAAAGTGAAATGTCTTGCCTCATTTATTTATGCTGCTAATATTGCCACTAATGGAAGGACTCTTTGGAAAAGCTTTAGTCACACCACATATTTTTTTTTACTCACTCTACTTATTTTAACTTTTGCCTTCCTATTCTTCTAGTATTACCTTCCGTGGACTATTACCGCATTTAAATATATTTTTTTGTTCACATCCAAAACATCTTTCTCGTTTTTCTCTCATTTTATCTCCAATTTAAAATAAAATTTACACTACTCTAACTATCTCCCAAGCTTGGTCATTTTATAACTTTGTCATTTATAGTCTTACCATAACTCCATCTCAACATTCACATTTTTTATTATAATTCTGTCGTTTAACGTTTTTCTCTCATTTTATCTCCAATTTTAAATAAAATTTATACTACTCTAACTATCTCCCAAGTGTGGTCATTTTATAACTCTGTCATTTATAGTCTTGCCATAACTCCATCTCAACATTCACATTTTTACTTATAATTATGTCATTTAATTAAGGTAAAGTGAAGAAACAAGCAAACAAATATGTTATATAACAAATGTGCAGCAACAATCTTGTTATTTAGTATGTGCATATAAACCCCTATAATTTATGTAGTAAAATTTTGTAACAAATTACCTCGTTAGTTAATTTTGACCAATTTATTTTTATAAAAATTTCAAAATAGTTTTTTTATTTGGTTTAAAGGTATTTTAGGTATTTCAATCTTCTTTTTTTCCTATTTTATACTCACACACACCCTTTAAGTAAATTGTTTGTACTCAAAATAAGTCTAATTTTAATTATGGAGTACTTCCTAAACTAACATAGTCAAGTTCTTACTCACTTGTAGGGTTTGTTTCTGTTTTCAAATTGAAAAATGTCCTTATTTATTAAATTTGAAAAATATAGGTTTTTTTTAAATATTTATATATATATAAAATTGGGGGATTTTTGCCATTTACCCTTTAATTAAAAAAAAAAAAAATTGAAAACAAAAGCTGCAAAAGGCCAAAATAATAACAATAATAACAACAAAAATTATTTTGGGTCATGTTGCTGGACTTTGGGAATAGATATTTGGGCCAAAATTTAAAAGACAACATTCGACAAATCTGACAGGCCCATCAAAACTTCCTCGATAACCGACACGGCTTCCATTAGCTACACCTCTGTCTCCTCGATCCCTTTCCCGGCGAGACCCTATACTCAACTCTGTCCCTCTTTCAGATAGATAGAGAGAACATTTTATATAGAGAGAGATTTTAGAGAGATAAATTGAAGGGGCACCATGCGCACTCGAGCGAGTAATCGCCAGAAGTCAACTAGGGCTAAGAAATTGGCTCAGAATTCGAATCAACCGGACGTTGAATCGAGCATCTCCGATCAAAACGCAATGTTGAAGTTGGGAAATAAAGATCGGGAATTGGCAGCGTCAGAAGGTCCGGCACAGCCAGTAGTGACCGGGAAGGAAATAAAGCAAGAAATCGAAGTTCTGAATGCAAATTCTTCTGTGACCAAGGGTTTGGTGAGTGGTGGCGGAGAGGAGGTTGTGGCGAATACGGCGGTGGAATTGAATATTAAGGAGGAAGTGGTTGTGGAAGTGCAGAATGTGGAGAGTGCAATGGAAGAGAGAGGAACGAAGGAGGATGAGCAGATTGAGGGCGGACCTGATGAGAATGGTAATGCAAATGAGGAAGATGATATAGAAAAGGGTGAACTGAATGTTGAGTGCGCAGGTAATGTTGATGGCTCTCAATTGGGTATTGTCCCAGGTATTGAAATGGCTTCGCATTAGTGTGTTTTTTTTTGTTTGTTTGTTTTTATTTTTTATTTTTTTAAAAAAGTTCCCATTAGTACATAATTAATGTGTTTGAAGTTTCATTTGAGTTGAATTGAATTGGATCATTATAAACCAACTTTATACTACAAGCTGGATTGAGTATATAATTACTTAATGATTGCAATGGATTTAATTTATGACATTATTATCAATGATGTTTTTTAGTTGAGGACTGAAATCCCATAACTCTTATGGACAGGGATGCTTTTGAAAGATTATTTCATGCATAGTTTGACAATCCACATTGAATGAGTTTTCTATTAGGAGTGTTACAAGATTTGCACAACAGTCACATAGTTGAGCTGTTGAGCAATAGTCCTTTTCAAGATTTGCACAATACTCACATAGTTGTACGTGGAAGGCTGGAATGTTCTTATATTGAGGGTTATATTCTCTATGTAAAAGGGCGTTGCATGAGTTTTTTTTTTTTCTTCTAGTTTTTGTTTGCTGTTGCTCATGGAAGTTCTAGATTTGCTCTCTTTTAATATTCTTTTCCTATTTTGCTTGTGAAGATTGTTTTATTTTTGGCTATCAAGAATGGACAAGTCTATAAGAAATTTGTATCTGTATCATGTCTATATCGGATACCTATTCTCACATGCTTATGGAGACATTCCATAATGACTATCACACCACCAGATCTGATGCGAGTTTTGCTTTTCGAAGTTTTCAAAAAACAAAAAAAAAAAAAAAAAAATTTGAAAACACCTGGTCTAACTAACATTGCTTCAAACTTATATTACTTTAGTCAAGCATCTGACCAATTCTATTATACAACTTAAGCACCTGGTCTTATCCTATCTCTTTACCTCATTCGTTTCTCTTACATGTATCTAGATTTGTGCGTATTTTCTCCACTGGTGAGGTTTCTCGCATCTATTTGTATTATTTGTGAATTGTATGGAATTCTTTGTTGACAACCTTCATGACCAGCAATGCTAACAAAAATCACATGTTACAGTTTCAGAATGGAATGCAGTGGAAGAAGTAACTGCTGTTACTCAAACTGAGACACTTGGGCACAATAACAATGTTCTTCCTGTCAATGAAGGTAATGATGGGGAAGGAGAGGTTGAGCAGAGTGGAAATGATGAAGAATATAACGAGGATAGTGAGAAAGATAATGAGGGGGACCAAAAAGAAGATGAAGACGGTTCTGTATTTTTCCATGTTCCCCTTACTGACAGAAAGAAACAAAAGGATTTAGAAATTTTTATTGGAAGACTGAATAAGGGGGCCGTTGAGGATGATCTGATTAAAGTGTTTGGGCAGTTTGGGGAAATAAAAGCCGCAAGGATAGTAAGGAACTCAACTACAAATAAGAGCAGAGGATTTGCATTTATTCGATATGCAACTATTGAGCAAGCCAAGAATGCTCTCTCTTTGTTGAAGGACGGAATTGAGGTTTTAAATGTTAACTTTTGAATGTCATATATATGCGTGTATGTGTGTGTTTGGTCTTTTGACGAAACAATAAATATATATGATGTTTTAAATGTTAATCCAAGATAGCAATTACATGGTCTTTTATTCTGCAAGGTGGGAGGCAAGCGTGTTAAGATATCAGCAAGCCAGGACAATGACACGCTTTGCGTGGGAAACATTTGTAAAACATGGACAAAAAGCCGTGTAAGCTTTAATAGGATGAGCTTCTCTAATCCATCTCTTACTGGGCATGTCACAATGCACACACACACAATGTGAATGTTTGAATCTTCATCATCTTCTCCAATTTCTTCTCTATCAAAGTTACTGCATGATGTGCCTCCCATTGCCTAACACTATTTTTCCCCCTAAAGGTGTTGAATACATTGAAAAGCTATGGAATTGAACATATTGAGGAGATACATGTGCCAGATGATCCAAAGAAGGAAGGGAATATTAAAGGTTTTGCTCTTTTGGAATTCAGCACCCATTCTGATGCAATGTCAGCGTTCCAACGACTAAGAAAGCCAGATGCTGTTTTTGGCTGTAACAGAAGTGCTAAGGTTGCTTTTGCACAAACCCCAATGCCTCACAGTGAGGATGTTATGTCTCAGGTTAGGAATCCGATTTCGTTCTTGCTTATTGAAAGTCATAATTGAATAAAATATAGAGACAACAAAAATTCACTCTCTTTTCTGATGATGCATCATGTAAAATGTGAATATGTGGATATCGAAATAAAATTATTTCTGGGTGCAAATTATTGCCTGGGAGGGCCTTGGCCCCTAAAAGTACACCATTATGAAAATGAAAATATGGATCTCTCTTTCTGAGCTGATCCGTATATTCCTTACCGTAATGCGGGATTATCAGTAGGTGAATGGTAATGCTAATTTTTTTTTTTTTTTTTTTGCATAAACAAGATTTTATGAGGAACCAATTGGTATCACAATTTGTATAAAATCATTTTCATGCTAATTTAATAGCGTATGTATGTGTGTGTATATATATATATTGTAATCCTGTTCTATTGGCTGTTGTTACTAAAGTATATATAAATATATTTGTGTTTTATAAGGATTTTTTTTATAGAAAAATGTCATGTGTTCAGAAAAGAATTGTAGTTGAAATGGGGACTGTTTCGTGTTATGTCGTTTTAATTGATTAGGTTTGGTGGAGTGACGCCAGCATTCATTCAACTAAATAAATTAGTTCCTCGCTTCATCCCATTCTCCTTCACTTGACATTTCGTTGGTCCTCTCTCTCTCCCTCCATGCTCCATCTCCAGTAATAGCTCTCAGCTCTCATTTTCTTTGTTTGTTGCAAGCACAAGCACAAGTGCAAGAAGGAAGGAATTCCTGAAACACTAAAAAAGAAGCGCCTCAACAAAGGAAGGCTGTTCGGCTCAAATGGAGCCTGGACTGGGGGCACAAAATGAGAGAACTACAATAAACAAGATAAGAGAGAACTCAGTAGGAAGGAACTCCTGAAACAATAGAAAGGAAAGTGGTGCGGAGTATAAGGATCGGAGCCATGAGTATCGGATGCATTTGCGGGGAATAAGGATCAGAAAACATTGATATTGAGAAATAAACTGTGGTTTTGGTCCCGATTCTCCGTACCCCCTTACCAGGATAAGCATGGAGAGGGAAAATGTAACAAAAAGAACTTTAAAAATAAAAATAAAAATGAGGAAGCACAAACACAAACACAAGCAAAAGAACTAGCAACAAGGAAATCACAAGAAAATACGTTATTCCCGAAAGCGAGTTTGCCATTAACCGTAGCGGCACCATCTGCTAAATTTTTTTTCCCCCCTTTAATGCATTTACCCCGCTGAACCCGGGGTTTTTGATGCATACAAGTATTTTTGTTGGAACGTTGATCCTTAACTAATGAAATGCTTAGAGTGTTTCCATTACCTGATAAAACTATCTTGTCAGTATCTTTTCCTCGTGTTCGGCTATATTTTTTGGTCAATCTTTGAGCATATTTACTCTAATCAAAAGCAGGTGTCCCAACCATGGTTATCAAAATCGCGATTTTGGGTCGTATAATCGCACGATTCTAAGATCCAACGTGCCCAAATCGATCCGAATCGCATAGAAATCGTAGCTTGTGCAGAATCGTGGGAATCATTGGGAGCGATTCTAAATTACTCCATATTTGTGGTCTTGTTTTTTGTAGAAGAAGCCCTAGATTAATTACAGTTCCTTCTCTTGCGCGACCACAAAGCAGCTCGGATGAAGAGATAAGATGCCCAAGGAAAAAAAAGGAGAAAAAAAAAATAGTTGCTAGGGTTTAGGGTGAAGAAGAAGAAGAAGAAGAAGAAGAAGAAGCAGAGGAGGAGGAGAAAGAGGGAACAAGATCAAGACTAAGAGAGCTTACCTGAGAAAGACGAGAGGAGCTGCCGCTGATCTTTTGGGTCTCGGCTGATTTTGCAGACTTGTACCAGAGAGATAGACAAGAGATGTATAATTGACCTAAAATATGTGAACTTACTATAATACCCTTCTTGATATATTAGAGGCACTATGTTATGTAGCAGGGTCAATTATAACTATTATGTAACCAATCATATTTTAACCAGCAAAGGGAAATAAAATAATTAAAATTATGAATCTGTTTGGTAGAATCTTACGATTCACGATCCGATTCTACGATTCCGATTCTACGAAGTCCAAAACGATTCCACGTAGAATCCCGACTTTAACAACCTTGTCCCAACAATTAGAATTGATCTTTTGGTTTACCCGTGGTTTTGTTTGCTCTGACTTTGCCGCTCACTTCTAGAATTGTTTTGTTACTTGTGGGCCTGTGGCACAGATGAGCAAGATGCACTCAACCCTAGTGGGTTAGAGACTCTAGAGGGCATTAAGAAATATCCGTATCTTTTAGTGTCTTTTTTTTCCTTCTTCTTTTTCTTCTTTCGATGTTGTTATTGTTGTTGTGAGAAGGTTATTGTATCATCATCATTAGATCTTCTTAATGAATATTGGGTACAGAATTTGCATTTAGTAATTATGTAAGCCAACATATATTCTGTTTTGCCATATTCACCAGGCATTAGTGAGTTTATTGTGATGCCTTTATGGACTTATGGACGACTTCTGTTTCAGCTTCAGATTTGAGTTTTGGGGCTTAGAGCACTGAATTATGTGCATTTTCTTGTATGTGTGGCTACATTTTTGGAAATACAATGATGAATTTGTTGAAAAAACATGTTGGTTTTGTAAGCATGACAGTTGCATTCTGTACCTGCAGAACTTATTGCTGCAAATACATTTCACTTAACAAAAAAAAAAAATGATTTACTTACCAAATATTCTTAAGTGCAAATACTACTTGAAGTTATTTCATTTCATCCTCTGGAGTGTAAAAATGACAAGATCACATTTCTTTTTGAAGGTTAAAACAGTATACGTGGAAGGCATGACTGATGCTTGGAATGAGGAGAAGTTAAAAGAGATTTGTAAAAAATATGGTGAAATCGTGAAAGTTAAGCTATCTCGGAGCCTAAGCACCAAGCGCAAAGATTTTAAGCGCAAAGATTTTGGGTTTATTGCTTTCACTTCTCAAGAAAGTGCTCTGGCCTGCGTGGAGGGGATCAATAATGATTGTATTGGAGAAGGAGAAGTCAAGGTAATAAATTGGTTTACTAAATTGTTTTTGTTGTTCTTGGAGCAGTTGTCTTAAGTGTCGTACTTTGTCTCAGGTTAAAGCCAGCATTGCAAAGCCTCAATTTAAGGGTCGGCTTCAAAATCAGGGTTTTCGTGGGGGATTCAAGGTTGAGAAAATGATTGAAGTGGCCCCATCAAAAGAAGAGAGTGAAAACGCAAAAGAAGCTGGATCATCAGAGATGAAAGGTCATGTAGAGCCTAAAGGGGCGAAAAGAAAGGGGAAAAAGGTGGAGGAAGAAAAAGAGAAGACTCCTTCCAAGTCAAAAATTGGAGGAGGTCAGCCAAACAAACACCAAAGTTTCACTGAAGGTCAATTTGATGGAGCAGCATCCACATTGAAAAGAAAACATCGTAAGAGAAAGAGTATACCTTTAAGGACTGATGGTTTTGATAATAGAGGCACTAAACATAGTAACAGGAAGAGGCCATCAAAGAAATCAAGAGGTACTTCTACACTTCTATTGTCTAAATTTGTTATCTATTTAACAACCTTTATACAAGAAGCTATAGAATGATCCGTGTGCTGACTAATGTAGGCAACATTAGCAGAAAGCAAGACGATAATTTCAGGCACCCAAAGAGAGACCCTCGTAAAAGAAAAGGGCCAGACAGTGGTGCAGATTCTGTTGCATTTAGAAATTCGTATACACAGGGATATGGTGCATCCGTGGCTAATCACCATGGTCAATCCTCCAGTGCAGTATCTGGATCCAAAAGGCGTTACACTGATATGGTAAATCACATTTTTTTTTTGCCACACTGCACAAATTTGGGCATTTCATGGTTTGATCACAAGAAATGGTGCTTTTCAGGAGCCCCATGCTGGATATCTTGAGCCCGTTGTTGCAAAGAAAAGCCGACCTCTTTATTCAGGATATGTTGAACCTGCTGTTGGAACACAGGGACGACTTCATTCGGAATACCTTCAACCTGCTATTGGAGCACAATGGCAACCTCATGCAGGATACGTTCAACCCACTGTTGGAACACAAGGAAAAAGTCCTGCTGGTTACTTTCAACCTGCTGTTGGGACACAAGGCCGATCTTATACAGGATACTTCAGACCTACTGTTAGAACACAAGGCCAACCTCATACCAGCTACCTTGGACCTGTGGTTGGAACACAAAACCGACCCCATGCAGGATACCTTGAATCTACTGGTCGAACACAAGGCCAATCTCATGGTGGATATCTTGAACCTGCTGTTGTAACACAAAACCGATCATATGCTGCAGGATACCTTGAACCTGCTGGTGGAATACATGGTTTAGATCCATATGACCCTAGGTTGAGAAGGTCTTATATATATTAATTTTTTTCTATATTTCATTTTGAGGCTTTACATATATAATATAAATATATACACATAAATATTTAACTTGGTTGATATGCATAACAATTCTGCTGTCAACAGAGCATCTGGACATGATGGCCAAGGTAGTGCTGGCTCTGCTTACGGGGGAGGTAGTATCTCCATCTTCTTTTATCTCACTCTTTTTTGTTTTTCCCCACCAACCCCATCCCAAAGAATGGGAAAGAATCAAGTACTAAGGGCCTGGTTGGTTCAATTTTCTGAGAACTTAAAAGAACTGGAAAATAGAAAACAGTTTGAAATTTTGATTCATTGAAAGTTTTTTGAAAACCGACTTAGAAAAAGGCCCGAGTTCTGAGAATTGTTTCTTGTAGTTCTCTGAAAACTATTTAATGTTTTGAGAGTTCTTGAAACTTTTTTTTAGACAACCGAACAATACTGGCTCAAACCCTTTACCTGGCAATTTTTTGTTAATGGCAGGTATTTCTGTCCTTCCTAGTCGTCTTTGCATCTATATCTTATCCCTGAAAGTTATCTTCCTTCTACGCACCAATTATTTTTAAACTTATAACTACATGTTTAGAATGATGTCTTGAAAAGGAATATTTAATAAATTAAGAAAAGAGACAAACCAACTGCTACAAATACCTTTGTAGATGACATGGAACGAGATTATACCAACGTTGAGCAACTTCAGGCTTACAGCAGCTTCGTTTCTCTAGATTATAGTTTTCAATGGTCGTAGGAGAAGTTCCCAGGTTTTTATCATCTACAGACATTTAGTCTAAACCGAAGTTTTATTTAGATTATACAAATAAGAAGTATGTGCTCTTTTTATGTTATAATTGATGAGAAGAAGTGTATGGCTTTTATGATGTACGGCGACACCAATTCTTTTTGCCACCAGGAATGGTGAACGGTTATGAGGATGGTGTTAATTTGGACAAGAACTCTTGTTATGTTCTTGGGTTTTTTAGTTGGGTTTTATATCTTATTATTAGTGTTCGTTTTGGATGATTTTTAGTATCCCATTGGCAGGTAGTTGCTTCTTCAATCTTTGGGGTGTTATTGTTTAGTGTGACTGGAACTAAGGGCTTTTTTTAAGCACTTGAGAGTTTTTAACATTATTAGTGCTTTTGGCTTTGACTGATAATTGTGTCTTTACTGTTGGATCAGCTCTTCCAACTTCATACATTCCAAATTACACGAGCTATGCCGGATACAAGGTCCTCCCTCCCTCCTCTGTCTCTCTCCTGTTTACCTTGTTTTCAAATTATTTCTTTAACTACAAGCACACGTGTGCTCACCTGCACACACACGTATTAATAATCTTCTGGGGCAAACAGCTCATAAAGCACTGGATTTTTGGTTGTCTGAGACCCTTCATCGGGGCACTTGAGAAGTACCTGTTTTTCGTTATGCTTGCATAAGATTATTATCAAAAGTGTAGCAGTAAATCTTTTTTTTTTTTTTTTTTTTTTTTTTTCTTGCTCTTAACCAAAGTTTACTTCCAGCCTTCCCTTGAAGTACTTCTAGACCAACCTGCTCGTGCTCATTTGTAACTCCTTGTCACGCTATTCACTTGCCATTTCTTGCAGGGTAATAGTACTGTCAGTGGATATTATCAAAGCAGCCAAGCATACCTGTCTCGAAGGACATACTAGTAAACGGTTGCTGGAAAGACTTAAAAGGCAGTTCAGGATCCTCTACCTTATTATGTTCTTTGAAGGGTGTAGTCCCTATTTTTTTTGGAGGGGGGTTATGGAGGAGGGGCTTTAGGATATGTGCTCAGGTTAGCCAGCAATGGCCAATTTTCTTACAATATTACAACAAAAATAATTAGTAGTCCTTTTATTATTATTTTTTTGGGACTCCCTGTAAACACTAGAAAAAAAAATATATGTTTTTGCTTGTAATGTTATTTGATTTTCTTGTTCATCAAGTGATTGTAATTATAAATGTAATATGTGGTTATACAAGATGGACAAGATCGTTGGAAAGGTTTTAATCTTTCTAATTCATGGGGAGCATTTGATGGATTTGACTTGATGTTTAATACTTCAATGTTTTTTTTAATTTTTTTTTAAAAAAAGGCAATCTAGACTCCATGAAAACCGCAATAGATTTTTCTTGTCTTTCTTCTCAATTCTCATTCTTCTTCAAATGTGCTATAATATCCATCTATTTCGGTATTATTTGTGATATTATTTTTGTACAGTAGGATATTTCTCTCCATGTACATAAATTTGAATAAAATAGATTGGATGTATATTGCTGTGTAATGTGAATAGTTGATTGCATTTCTCCTGAGCTGTAATATTCGAAAAGCTGAATCCGAACTAGAGAGAGAGCTGTGGGTACTTTCCCCTTGAAACCTGAGAGAATCTCTAGTTCCTTCCTTTCTGCAATGTATGGTAGAATATATTTGGTGTAACGGCTGTAACAGTTGCATTTATAAATTAACACGAAACCAGATGGCACAAACATCAGAGATTCAAAATGTTTATCATGCAATTGAAGTTTAAAGAGCATTTTCCTTCCATCCACCGTCAAACCTAAAACAATAGTGTAACACATGACATATATCTATATATTGAATTTCCCAAAAATACGATATATATTTGCAGTGATATCTAAATATCACATTCAAGATATATTTTCAAACTAAAATTCTTCACTGCAAGTAAAAACCTATTTACATCTCAAACCCACTGTACTGTATCAGAATTGTCTCTCCTATAATACCTATTTAATTATTTAGAATTTCTATTTTTAACTCAAAAAAAAAAAAAATCGTTCAGAGATCTGTCAAGGGGGAGAGACCTTTTGAGAAGTTACTCGACATTGGCACTGGTTGCTTCCATCAGCCCGTTGCGAATCTGGTCACCAATATCCCTGACATGACCAGGACCATGGGGTAGGAAAACTGTAGTATTCTTCGATGAGTTCCCGAGATCTTTGATGGTGTCAAAGTACTGGGTGATCAAGATGAGATCCATCACCTCCTTGGCTGAGGTGCCTTCCACCTTGTCAGAGAAGTTCAAGATGTTCTCTCTCAGTCCATCTGTTATTGCCTGCCTCTGCCTGGCCACACCAACCCCGCCTAGGTACTTGGCTTCAGCTTCAGCTTCTGCCTTTTTCACCTGGAGTATCTTGTCTGCCTCCCCCTTGTATACACTAGCAAGCTGGAGCCTCTGAGCTGTAAACAAAATCAACATTGCATTGTTCAGTTGCAGATAAGCTAAAGGAACAGTCAAAAGCCTTTAGAGTAATAAAAAAAATGTAAATAACATGAGAATATCACAATATTAGGAAATCTAAAGCATGAGTGAAAAAACTGGTTTTACAGTTTAATGGGAAAATCGCATATAACTCTATGAATTTTTCGATTCAGATTTAATTTTTTCCCACCGGGAGAATCTTGTCAATTAATGCAGGAGCACAAGGGCACATATCATGGACCTGGACAATCCACAAAACCATTTCAGATCATAATGAAACGGAGGAGGAGAGGGTGAATAATAGTAGATTGAGCAACCAATTGAAAACTGATGAAAAGATTAGGCACGACACTTCAAAATTCCTCACCTACACTCCTTAAATGACCGTTCTAATGTAAAAGCAAAAAGAAAAGAATGGTGAAATAATGCTTTCTAACAAATAGCATTATTTCATACTGTACTTCCAACGATCTATAATTACATAGACTCAGATTGCAGCAAAAGAATTGAAAAGGAAAAAAAGTTCCCTCACCTACAACTCCTTAAATGACTGTTCTAATGTAAAAGCAAAAAGACAAGAATGGTGAAATAATGCTTTCTGACAAATAGCATTATTTCATACTGTACTTCCACCGATCTATAATTACATACTCTCATATTGCAGCAAAAGAATTGAAAAGAAAAAAAAATATGACTTTTTTTCCTTGTGTTATACAAGGTAAACATGAGATTCCTTGTTGACAATTCAGCTCTCCCCTGTATCCTCATTTCACTGAGATATGAAGTCTACCCAAAAGTAACTCACCTCAAGTATCATAAATTCCACCATGAGTAGTAAAACATCTTCAATGGATTTATGAACTTAACAGATTTATTAAAATAATTTTTCCATGCGATACAATGTAACAACAACAATGAATAGTTACATGAGTTACAAACATCCTAACTTTGGCTCCTGAAAATGGTCACTAAAATTGAAAGTCCATCCCCGACATATTATATTCTATCATAAAATTCATGTCTGATGCTAACTGGAATGCAGAATAAACTAATAGTTTGTACCTGAATCTCAAAACATATTGCTCTGCTTTAAATAACATAAATCAGAAAGTTCAAAATGTTAAATGTCAAAACCTGCATTTATCTCATTCATCGCTTTACGCACAGCGGTATCAGGAATTATGTCAACCATCAATATGTGCTCAATGTTGTATCCATACGCTCCCATCACCTGATAAACGCAACATTTTAGACAAGATACATTGAGTTGCAAAAACACCAAGTTCAGCCATAAAAAGCCAACATAGAAAACATGTTTCAGCAAGAAGTAACATAAAACTAATTGGCGAAAAAAATGTAATGGTACTAGCAGAATAACAGCTTGATAAAAAATGTCAGTTCTTTAAACTCACTTGAGCATCAATTTCATAAATATATCTTTCATCACAATAAATAACAAAGCATCGTACTAAAAAATAAAAAAATGTGATTAATAATTCATAAAATGGCTATAAAGTTCACATGCACCATGAAATAACTCAAAAAATAAAAATAGAAAAATGTACACTAAATAAACATTACCTTTATTTCGTTATGGTTTGAAATTCAATCATAAAAAGGTTTGTTTTCAGAAAGCTATGTATTATGATTCTATGAAAACAGTTATTTGTTTTCGAAATTCTTGGGAATTTACTTCATCAAGCACAACTATCAAGCAATTCAAAGAAGTATGGAAAGACCTGATAAAGAAAATAGAAAAGCAAAAACTGTGAATAATTTTGCTTTTAACTTTCAGCAGTACAACTCCCTTCCTCAAATAGTAGGAAGATGGCATGTTTTGATCTCATAACCTCTTAAACCAAAAGATTTAACAATTTTAATGAACTTTATTCAACCTAAAAGATTCTTTATCAAGAGTTTCAGTACTCTTAGAACCATAAATCAATAGAACTTGATGGGAAAATTTGATTATTTGATGATCAAATACCATTACCACAAAATTTCCAACCTTGAGCTAAGTAGATTTAGTTAGTTCAGCAATGAAACCATCCCAATTATTAGACACTCTCTCTCAATTTCCAACCTTGAGCTAAGTAGAATTTAGTTAGTTCAGATATGAAACCATTCCAATTATTAGACCTTCTCTCCTCCCACCACCCAACCACAAAAAAATATATATATATATTTTTTTCACTCTAAAATTTGGTAGTTTTAAGTTGGAATTGTGTTTTCAAAAGATTTTCAGATAAAGGGCAGCTTCACAATATTGGGTAACCTTTAAATACATCTCTTCAGTGAAATTGTAACCCAAACTGCACAACTTATATTTACGGCTCGCTAGGAGGTCTCTCAGGGAATCAAAACTTTCCAAAATTCATTACGCAAAGTCAGAAAAACACTCAGGGAGTGAAAATCATTATACTGTCCCTATACAAAATGAAGTGCATCACTAACAATTAAGTGCAACCCAGATTGAGAATTGGAACTAGATCATTTTATCAATTAATAAATAAGCTCCACCTAACCAGGAATAAAAAAATTAAATCTGCTTATAGAATGGGAAGAAAAATCAACACCCTCCAAAGAGATCTTGTAAAATAAATAATGATTAATAACAAAAAAGTAAAGCAAGATTTTTTTTTTTTTTTTTCTTAAATGAGGTGATTTCATTCCACAAAAGATAGGCATTCAGTACATATAAGCAACTGAGGATATACCCTCAAAACATCAAACCAGCAAGTAAACTGAAAAGTTCCACTTCCAAAACACATGGAAGATAAAAAACAGAAAAATGGATAAGCCTAGGACCCAAAAAAACACAAGTAAAGCATGATTAATTTAATATATATTTGAAAAACATACGCTGCTCCTAACAAAAGAACAGGTTTAGGCTAATCTATAACATAACCTCAGTCGTTAATAAAGAACCCTTACTGGAAGGCTGTATTACTGAGTCCCTTTATGTGCCTATTCCTTTGTATGTACACCTTCCACAAAGATTCTTTATCACACAAAATATTCAACAAAATTCCAAGTATAGAAATTGTCCCTAAGCTTCAGCTTTGGGACTAACTTTGCCAACTTGTAAGTGATTAGTGATTTTTAAAAGCTAAATCATCATATACCAAAGAAAAGTGTGCAGCTATCCACCATATAGCTTTGCCATTGACAAGAAGAGAGAATCAATGAAAATATCTTTCCATATAGTTTTGCCATTGACAACAAGATAAAATCAATGAAAATATCGCTCTCATTAGTGCAGACAATGGAATGGAATAAAACAAGTAGGCAATTAAATCCATAACATTCCACTAGAAATGAAAACATTGATTAAGCAGATCAAGTTTACCTTCTCAAGTTCCAACAAGACAGTTTTAGCAACATCACCCTTTTGCTCAAAGAGCTCGTCCAAAGACATTCTTGGAACATGGGCACGAACCACTAAGAAAACAATTTAGACAGTGTTAGGCCATGGAATAAAAATAAGGAAAAGGAAAGTATGTGTATAAATATATACACTGTCTAAGAAGGCAGAAGGATTTCGAATCATAGAACCTACCATCAAAAACGTAAGCCTGAATCTGCTCTTTGGGGTTTTGCAACTCATAAAATGCATCATCGGCATTTTCTTTGATCACTCGGTATTGAATTGAGCAAAGCATTTGCACAAAGACATTATCCTGCAGAATAGAGGATCATTTACTTCAGGCAGAAAGA